CAACCAAATGAGGCCCAACCTCTGTGAACGTTGGTTCCTCCCAAAAAGTCAGGGCTTCACTGACCCAACCAAACAGCTTCCTCACCAACATTTTAGAAAAGGAGGCTAAGAGAGCCCAAACCCCCTATTTGGAGGCATCTGAATGGGAGGAAGAGATCTAAGATTTAAACCAAACGGGAGAAAGAAAGAAGCTCGCATGCCTTCCATATAAAATACTCACCCAGAGACCTCTGTCCAAACCAAACCCCAAACTGTCTCCTTGCCACATAAGTTAAATTAAGCAAGAGGTGCCCCATGGGGCGGGGACTGGCTGGGGGTGTTCCCCAGGACAAAGAACTTAGGTAAGGGCTAGGACTCATCATGTTACAGGCTGAGGGCCAATGAAACATACACAAATAGCTCCTCACCAAATTTGTAACCGAGCCCAAATTCATCCACCTAATGGATAGCAAAGACAAGCAGGCATTGAGTATGCAGCGAGAAAAGGGTTATTCGAGAGGGGGCAAAATGAGAGGCACATTTCAAATCTGCCTCTCCCAGGAGAGTCCAGGAAATTTAAAGGCAAACAAAAAGGGTAAAAAGTTGCAGTTGCACACATAAATCTGCAGCTACAATTAGTCCCATTAACATATTGGTTACAGGTTTCACTAATTTTCTCAGAATACTGAAAATGTAATATTTACTCATGGTTGGTGTTTGGGGGGGGAGCACCAACCTGGACCATTCAGTATATAATAATATAGAGCTCAAATAATGTTTCACCCTCCTTCATTACAGGGATAACATAGAGGATTACTTTTGTTATCTTGAGTCTTCTTTGTGTGTGCTTTTACATAATTAGAATCATGGTTTACCTGCCTTTGGAACTGGAATTGTTTTTCACCAATTATGTTGTGCTCAGATCCTAAGCCTTCATAGCAGAGTGGTAGAATTTGCATTCAGGAATCATAAAATATGTATTTAAATTCCAACTCTACCATCCCTAGCCTTGTGATCTTAGTCAAACTTCATCCTATTTTTTTCATCTGTCAAGAGGCATTTGTAATAGACACTACACAACAGGTTTATTATGCTAAGTACACATAACTGCTCAAGCCCAGAAACTATTCATATTGCATTTTATGGATTTTTTGCTTCTTATAAAAAAATAAATGCTCATTTATGAAATCATAGAGATGTATAAAGAAAACAAACATGACAGAACCCGGACAGATATACCAATGTTAAAATGTTGATGTAAAAAGACAGCATTGTGGGGCGCCTGGGTGGCTGAGTCGGTTAAGTGTCTGACTCTTAGTTTTGGCTCATGTCCTGATCTCAGGGTCATAGGACTGAGCCCTGCTTTGGGATCCATGCTCAGTGGAGAGTCTGCTTGTGATTCTTTCTCTCTTTTCCTCCCCCTCCGCTCCTCCCCACTCCACTCACCATGCTCTTTCTCTTTTTCTGTCTAAAATAAATAAGTCTTTAAAAAAGACAAGATCATATGATTTTGTTTATATAAAGTATCAAAAGTAGTCCAGTTCATAGAAACATAAGGTGGAATGGACATTCCCAGAGACTAGGGGAAGGGGAACAGGGGGAGTTCTTGTGTAATGGGTATAGAGTTTCAGATTTTCAAAAGTCTGAAAAAGTTCTGGACGTGTGTTTTGCAATATGAGTATAGTTAATGCTATGGAACTGTACACTTAAAAGTGGTTAATATGGTAAGTTTTATGTTATGTGTTTTTTACAACCCCCCCCATTTTTGTGTTTTTTTTTCCCAGTGGACACACTCTTGTACACAGTTGGAAAAATTCTTCCAACCCACTTGTACCAATCACTTCTTCACTGACTTTTACTGGTCACGTCCTTCCTTCCCTCCCTACCCAGCTTTTATTTTTATTTTTTAAAGATTTTATTTATTTATTTAACAGAGATCACAAGCAGACAGAGAGGCAGGCAGAGAGAGAAGGAGGGGAAGCAGACTCCCTGCTGAGCAGAGAGCCCGATGCGGGGCTCAATCCCAGGACCCTGGGATCATGACCTGAGCCGAAGGCAGAGGCTTTAACCCACTGAGCCACCCAGGCGCCCCCCCTACCCAGCTTTTAGTCGTGCAGCTGCAAACACCCTCCACTCCATATATATATGTCGTTAACAACTTTCCTCAGGGCAAAAGATCATTTTACAAGTTGGATTACCTCCTGGATCCTGACTTTCTCTTTTTTGCCATCTCTTAGACATCTCGTTATCGGTAGAACTGTGTCCTCCCCGGCGCTTGCCAAATTCATATGCTGAAATCCTAATCTCTAGTACGTCAGAATGTAACTGATTAAATTTATTAATCACTTTAAATACGTGATTAAGAGAAAGTGAGTCATTAGGGTATGCTGTAATCCAACTTGACCTGTGTCCTTATAAGAGGAAATTTGGACACACGGAGAGACACCAGGGGCCTGTAAGCACACAGAGGAAAGATCACGTGAGGACACAGAGTGAGGCTGCCATTTGCAGACAAGTAGTACGACCTCAGGAGAAACCAACTCTGCTGACGTAGGCAGGCCTGGTCTGAGGACCCAGAGGGGTCCTTGCAGGACCAGCCAAGAGAGTCTTCCACTTTGCACAGGATAGAAATCAGACTCAAGCCAGGAGGAAGGGAGAGCAGAGTTTATTGAATAATGGAAGTGATAGAGTGTAGTAGACGGAGTGTCTGGGAGACTCAGAAAAGGAGAAGCAAGTCTCTGTGTTGCTTGGGGTTGAGTGTTTATACTGGAAAGAGGTCCATGATATGTGTTCCTTTAGGAATCCAGGTCTGATTAAAGGTGTCAGGTGAACAATAGCCGTTGTCCTATAAATCACTGAAAACAGGGGGTATGGATGCCAGTGTTGGCAGAGGTTTGTTCAAAGCCTAATGTCGTGGAGCTCAGGATTCGGTTCTTCTCTGATGTTATCAGGTATGTGGGAGCCTAGGATGAAACTCAGGGGATGATTCACTTTCTTGCTTCTCCCCCTTGGAGTGGGAACATGGAGCTTCTTTGGTTTACTCAGATGCAAGGTGAAATATGAAACACGAGTACATGGGGCCTAGCAAAGAAACAGCAGAGATAGAGCCTTCCTAAAATGGAGTCCCTTCAGTTTCCTTATCTCTGCTGACACCTGGCTCCTGGACTTCTAGCCTCCAGAACTGTGAGAAAATACATGTCTGTTGTTTAAAGCCACCCAGTCTGTGGTATTTTGTTGTGGCAGTCCTAGCAAACCAGTGCACTCCTTTAAGAACATTAAAAAATATATATTCCAGGCTTTTACTCTTTTTTTTCTGAGAGGGAGAGAGACAATGAGAGAGAGAGAGAGAGAGAGAGAGTCAAGCAGATTCCATGCCTGATGTGGGGCTTGATCTCACAACCGTGAGATCATGACCTGAGCCAAAACCATGAATCGGATGTTCAATTGAGTGAGCCACCCAGGCACCCCCAGACTTCAGTTTTTATGTTATTGTTTTCTGAGGTGGGTTAATATAAATATTCTAGCTCCACTATTATCAGAAAGACAAAGTCCTCATTATCCTATTTCCACAGGCTGCTCCCTCATAGCCCTTACCATCAGCTGGGATTATATTGATTTTTCTAGTTTTTATTGTTAAAAAGAAAACCACAGGCTCAAAATGGGGCCACTGAGGTCAAGTCATTAAACCAGGACTTAATAGCTAAGCTAATTGCAATTCCAATCACCCCCCAAAATATAGTCTTAACAAGTCATCCAGGAATTTTGTGATCTGGCACCACTGAGCTAATATGACACATGGGCCCTCTCCATCCCCCAAAGGTAAATGAGGTAATCCACCTAATTAGACCCCCAGCTCTAACCCTTAAAAGAAGGTGACCTTACCTGGAACTATCCTTTCTTTTCTTTTGCTAATAACCTCCTTGTGTTCCCCTCCCCCCCACCAAAAACCTTCTATTTCGTACACTTGTAGTGCTCCCCTCTACTTGCTAGATGGGATGCTACCCCATTCATGAATCAATAAAGCTAGTTAGATCTTCAGCTGCACTGGGTTGAATTTCTGCTCAACGTTATTATCTATTTAATTCCTCACGAATGAAGAACCAAGAGAACAGGGACCATTTTGATAACTGCTCTATGCTCAGAACCTGTGACAATACGGGACCGATGGTAGACACTCCAGATAGTTGCTGAACGAATGAATGACAGAATGACAAAGAAGGGATTTCCCCACCGGTGAAGCGGGCGGGCTACGTGGTCCCTCCGGCTGCCGGCTGACCCCGCCCACAGTGGGCGGGCTGGCGGTTGCCCCTGGGTCTGGGCTCCCCGGGCACGCTCCGTCGCTCCGGCTCCGGGTTTTCGGGCGCGCCGGCTTCCCGGGAGAGGGCGGTCTCGGGGCGGCCCCTCGGGGGCGGAGCCCGCGGCTGGGCGTGCAGAGCCGCCGGAAGACGCGCGCGCAGAGAGGGTGGCTGCGCAGCAGCTTGTGGTGGCCGGACCGGGGGCGAGAGGGGCGGCGCGGGGGCAATTGGCGCCGCGGGCGACGGCGGGGCGCGGCGGGAGGACGAAGGCGCCAGGACACCCGGGGCTGCGGCCCACGAGGCGGGGCGGCGGGTGGAGTCGGCCACCGCCGCCGGCCCGGCGTCAGAGCGACAGCCAGCGAGGTATATCCTCGCCCGCATCTGGGAGAAGCCGGGTCCGGGCAGCCCTCCCACTGCGGCCCCCGGAGCCCCGCTCCCGGGCGCGCGGCCGCGGAAGGCCTTCTGGGAGGGCGGCGGCGCGATGCGGTGCGGCGGCCGGCCTTAGGCAGGCTCCGCGGGAAACCGGGAGAAACCCTGCGTCCGGGGCGGAGGCCGAGGTCCCGCGGGCTTCCTTCGGGAGCCCGCGGGAACGTGGGGGCGTGTTTCGGAGAATCGTTGGTGAGCGGGGACATGTGGTCTAGGAGGGCTGGGGAAGAACAAAATCTGCTACCTCTGGCTCCACCGAAGAGACACTCTGTGGCGCGGAAAGCTTCGGGAGCGAGCGCTCTTGCGGCTGCGTCCCGGATCACAGCAGCGTCCAGGGCCAAGCTGCTGAGGCTTCGCGGGGCCGCAGCCTCTGTCCCGGGGAGACACGGCCGGGAGCAGTGAGGAGGGCCAGCTTCCAAATGATGCTTGGAAAGTTTCCCCACTTGGTAACTAGACGTTTACTTTTATGTATTCGGGGCAGGATATTTCCACGTGCTCCAGCCTGCGGGATGCAGCTACTTTCTGTGCATCGAGCAGGCGCAGCTTGGGGCCGGGTAGGGGGGGGCCCGTAAGCTACGTACCCTTCCTCACAAACTTCAAAAAGTTGGGCCGGCTCCCTTTGCTCGGAACTCGGACTGTACGTGGGGAGCCAAATGTGCTGGACCAGGTCGCTGCGGAGGCACCTGCTCGAACCCCAGGGCGTTGGTTGGGGTGATAGATTTGAGTTGTTTCCAGATTTTCCTGTTACAAACAGTTCTGCAGTAGTCCTCATGATACTCAGCATACTGTACTTCCTCCGTCTGAACACATCCTCCTCCCCCATTTTAACATCTCTGAAACCAGGAGGCATCTTACCAGGTTAGAAGGACTTGCCAGCTGCTGGCCATCTGCGTGGGTGGGGATATGTCTGGCGCTTTTTGGGCATGTGAACATGCAGCTATGTGATTATTCCAGCCTTATGACACTTGAACTTTATTTTTTTTTAAGATTTTATTTATTTATTTGACAGAGATCACAAGTAGACAGAGAGGCAGCTGGAGAGAGAGAGGGCGGTGGGGGGGGACAGGCTCCCTGCTGAGCAGAGAGCCCGATGCGGGACGCGATCCCAGGACCCTGAGATCATGACCTGAGCCGAAGGCAGCGGTTAACCCACTGAGCCGCCCAGGTGCCCTGACACTTGAACTTTAAATTGAAGTCTCTAGTTGTTTTTAAAAAGTAGTTTGAAAAGATAATGCTGTGATGCAGCATTAAAACAAAAGGTTTATAGTAATATTTATTAGGGGTTTTCTGCTTGCCTGACATTGTTTCAATTCGTATTACAGCGCTATAAAGTAGAATTGTTATACCCATTTTATAGATGAAGAAACTGAAGCTCAGAGAGTTGAAGTGCCTTAGAGCCTTTAAGTCCATGTGTCAGGATGCTAGCCCACGCTGTCTGATTTCAAAGCTTGCTCTCTTAACTCCAAAACCTGTATCCAGGCAGAAGATGCATGCAACTCACAAAGAGGGACGTCAAGGCAGCGTCTACGCTTGTATGTGCATATGGAACTGGGAGACAGCCGCATCCAAGAGCATTGATCATACTTATTCCCACATTGATGCCAAATCTTTGTTTTTGGATCTTTTGCAGTTTGAAATATATTTTTGCATGTTCTGGAGTTCTGACTGTGTGTTGGGTGCTTCTGGATTCCTCTTCTGCCTTTTGCTCCTCTAGAAGAATATAGAGGCATGCACTCAAACCTACTCAAATGGCTGCCTCCCAGGGTGGCTGTACTTAATCTAAGAGAGAAGTCAGTTTTTCAGAGTTAAAGTCACCTGAGCCTCTAGGAGCCCCCAACCTCTGGTGCCACAGGGACACGCCAAAGTTCCGAGGGCAGGAGATTGTGCTCAGAGGAGACGACACACCTGTGAAGCCTTTCAATAGAGGTTCTGGCGGTTTTTCTCACCAGAAGTGGACAAGCTCTGTTGGGTGGGCACCATCATGCTACAGCAGCTCCTGATCACCCTGCCCACGGAGGCCAGCACCTGGGTGAAGCTGCGCCATCCAAAGAAGACCAAGGAGGGGGCGCCCTTGTGGGAGGACGTGACTAAGATGTTTGAAGGAGAAGGTGAGAATAGGCTGATGGAGGGGAATGGGGAAAGAAGAATTCACATTTTGTGTGTGAAAAGATAGGTACACACTTCGCTGAGGTGGTTTCTTGGGGAGAAAATTGGGGGAAAGCAGGTCTTTGGGGTTCATGCTTGTGACTTTTGGGAAGGGGATCGCTATGAGAGGAAATGTGGGGCTCTCAGCATGGGCTCCTTGTTTCCATGTGCTCCATGCTGCTCCCGTCTCCAGTCCTCAGATCCAGCACACAACAGTGGCTCCCAAGTATATAGGATTCCCAGACAGTGGGGTCAAAGGTTTCCACTCCCTAAAGCCCTCCCAAAGTCTTCCTTCATAAGTTCTGGTCATTCTGGCCCAAAGCCAATGTTTTTCAAAAGGAGCATTTCTTTTCTTCTGAGAGGAAGGAATGACATGCTTGATGACTCTCAATTTATAGGAGGTCAGTGGGAAACAAGTCCAAGGTTACACATTATCTGGTGGTCTGGTCAGGACAGATACATGGACACAGGAATTTTTGTGTCTCACGTGGTCTCTTAGTTCATGCCTTTAACACTTCAAGTCCAGCTGATACCGATTCTCGCTGCAGGAGGCAGGGACCTTGCTAAGGATCTTGACCGATGGCAAAATGAATAATGATCTCCAGTGCTTATTATTAATTGATGGAGATAGACACATAACCAGGTCAAAATAATAGAAAGTAGCCTAAGAAAGTGCTATGGTAAACTTCTTTTGGAAGACAAGAGACGGGAAATATTCTTTTGATTGTATTTATTGGAGAAATTTTCACAAAGCAGATAGCATTGACTTGGGCCTTGAAAGATGTCTAAATTTCTTGTGGACAATTTGGGGAGGGGTACAGAAATGACTGCCTTAAAGAGTGGTTCAGAGAGTGGGTACTATCCTAGTCTGACTGAGGGCCAAGAATGTGGTCAGCGTATGTGTAGGATGGATGAAGGATGGTGGATAGCAGAAACTAACGCTGGGAAAGGATGCTTCTGGTGAGTCATAGAGCACCTTGAAGGTGATGGGAAGTGTTTGGATTTTTCTTTCTTGTCAGAAACCTTTGAACAGAGGAGTGGCCTGATAGATCTGTGCTTTTGGACCAGCGTTGACCATTGGGACATGTTAATGCCCAAAACAACACACTGTGGACCCTCCTCATTAAGGAGGCTCCGACTGCTCTGAGTTGCCCTAAGTGTCCCTCTTTGTGAATGTTTTGAGAGAAAAGCCAGGTTCAGCAGATCTGGAGGCAGTTTTTCTATTTGGGAGCTATGGGGAGATGCACGCCTCATAGCTCTTTCCCTTCTTTAGCGCTGCTATCTCAGGATGCTGATGAGACCCAGGAAGAAAGTTTGAAGGATGAAGTCATGTCTAGGTCCCGAGCAGCAGAATCCCAGGTGGGTTGGTTTCCTTTCATTTTCTTGACATGCTGTTTGGTTTTTAGGGCTTTAACTTGCCTTTTTTTTTGAGTGTGAGAGGGTGTTGAGGCTAACAGATTCAACATAGGGAGCTCTTATACAGAAAACTGGGCTGCAATGGTGGCCATTCCCCTACTCATGGTAGCTTCCCTCCTATTTTTTTTTTTTTAAGATTTTATTCATTTATTTGACAGAGATCACAAGTAGGCACAGAGGCAGGCAGAGAGAGAGGAGGAAGCAGGCTCCCTGCTGAGCAGAGAGCCCAACATGGGGCTTGATCCCAGGACCCTGGGATTATGACCTGAGCCCAAGGCAGAGGCTTTAACCCACTGAGCCACCCAGGTGCCCCACTTCCCTCCTATTAACTCTTGTTTGTGACCAACATCTAGATTTAACGTTGTGCTGATTTCTGTAGAGAAAGCGAAATGAGTGATAGAATTCTAGCCCCTAAAAACAAACAGATATTACTTGGAGTCTAAGATGTATGTCAATTTTTTTTGAGTATTTCATAGTCAATATTTCATATTCAATATTTTTGGAGTATTTTTGGAGTATTTTGAGTATTTATTCAGAACCAAACTTTACTAAGGGAGAAGGTTCTGACATTCTTAAGTGCCAAACACATGTCACTGGTGAACTTGAGTATTAGGAACAGAGGTCAAACTTCAACCAAAGGAGAAGCAAATGGGGAAGAAGTGGTCTGGCCACACAGCACACACTTTAGACAGGATGGGCAGTTCTCACGGGCTGTCCTCACTGCCTCCTGGAAGAATAGGAGAAACAGGAGGAAAATTATAGAATGAATGAGAAAGGAAAACTGTTAAAGATCAGATGTTTTTCAATGACAGAAGAGTTTTAAGTGAAAAGAACTGGGGTTCTGAAGTTAGATGGTACAGGATTTGAACTTTTCTCTTGTATTTATTTGCTTGGTGATCAGGGGCAATTTTTTCTAGCTGTTTACAATCCCAGTTTCGTCAGCTGATTCAGATGCTGATTCCTTCTAGGATTGAAATGCATTTCAGAGTTATTTACAGCAATAAGGAAGAAGTTACAATAATCTAATTGTTTAAAGAGTATCTTTACATTGCACAGTCTGAAATTCCTTGCCTCTTGACATTTATCAAAAAACTGATGGGATTCTTAGTGCTAGGAAAAAATAAAATTTTTTAAAAATTGAGCTACAATTTAAGTATAGGAAAATATAGTTAAGAAAGTGTATAGTTCTATTTGGGCATATGTATATACCCTGTAACCAAAATATAGACCATTTCCATCATCTCAGGAAGTTCCCTCTTGCCCCTTTCCAATCAAAACTTTGCTTCATTCTGAGTAGAGAGTACATGGGATCTCTGTGTTATTTTTTTTTCACCCAGAATAATATTCTTTTTATTAAGTTCAATTAGCCAACATATAGTACATCATTAGTTTTTGATGTAGTGTTCACTGATTGATTAGTTGTGTATAACACCCATTGCTCATCAGATCACGTGCCCTTCTCAATGCCCATCACCTTACACCATCCCCACCCCACCCTCCCTTCTGCAACCCTCAGTTTGTTTCCCAGAGTCCAGAGTCTTTCATGGTTTGTCTCCCTCTCTGATTTCTTCCCATTCAGTTTTCTCTCCCTTCCCCTATTGTCTTCAGTGCTATTCCTTATGTTCCACATATGAGTTAAACCGTATGATAACTGTCTTTCTCGGCTTGACTCATTCACTTAGCATAATACCCTCCAGTTCCATCCATGTTGATACAAATGGTAGGTATTCATCCTTTCTAATGACAGAGTAATATTCTAGTGTATATATGGACCACATCTTCTCTATCCATTCATCTGTTGAAGGGCATCTCAGCTCCTTCCACAGTTTGACTATTGTGGACATTGCTGCTATGAACATTGGCGTTCTTGTTCCCCTTCTTTTCACTATGTGTGTCTGTGTTATTTCTTACAACTCTATGGGAATCTATATCTCAAAATAAAAAGTTTAAAAAAGAATTTATATTCTGCGGTTGATAGTTATAGTGTTCTATAAATGTCTGTTAGTTTAAGTTGGCTGATAGGTTGTTCCAATCTGAATCCTTGATACATTTCTGCCCACTTGTATCAGTTACTGAGAAAGGAGTATTAAAATTATATTGTGGTTTCGTCTCTATCTCCCTTTAGTTCTGTCAGCTCTGTTTTGGGTTCTGTTATCAGATGAGTTAATGCCTAGGATGGTTGCCTTCTTTTTTTTTTTTTTTTTTTTAAGAATTTATTTATTTATTTGGCAGAGAAAGATCACAAGTAGGCAGAGAGGCAGGGAGGGTTGGGGGAAGCCGGCTCCCCGCTGAGCAGAGAGCCTGATGCGGGGCTTGATCCCAGGACCCTGAGATCATGACCTGAGCCGAAGGCAGAGTCTTAACCCACTGAGCCACCCAGGTGCCCCAATGGTTGCCTTCTTGATGAACTGACAGTTTATAAGCTGTGTCTTCTGTATGGCTCATAATATTCCTTCTCCTCAGTCTGCTTTGTCTAATTTAACTATAGTTCCTCCAGTGTTCCTTTAGTTACTGCTTGTAGGGCATAGCTTTTTCAATTCTTTTGCTTTTAACCTTATCTGCGTCTTTATATTTAGAGCGCGACCTTCCACATAGCCATGTCTTGCTTGTTTCATGCATTTACAGTCACCATAATCCTTGATATGTTTGGATTTAAGTGTATATTCTTGGTCTTCGTTTGCTGTTCACCCGTCTTTGTTTCTTTGATCCTCTTCTGCGTCCTCTTGGATTGCATAGTTTTTTAGTATTCCACTTTATGTCCCCTGAATGCTTTTTAGCTATACTTGTTTGATTTGCGTTTAGTGGTTGTCCTGGCCATCGCAATACACATTATTAACATATCACAGTTGAATTACTATTATACTATTTCACATACGGTATGAAAACCTCATATTTCCATTTACTCGTTCCCATTCTTTGTATATTGTTATACATTTCACTTTACAGGTTATAAACTCCACAGTACATTGTTCTTATTTTTAAAAAAGATTGATTTGTTTATGTTAGAGATCGCACGTGTGCATGCAAGCAGAGGGGAGGGCAGAGGGAGAGAGAGAATCCGGTAGGCTCCCCACTGAGAGCACACTCCCCTCTTATTTTTATTTTTATTTATTTATTTATTTATTTATTTAAAAGATTTTATTTATTTATTTGTCAGAGTGAGCACAGGCAGACAGAGTGGCAGGCAGAGGCAGATGGAGAAGCAGGCTCCCGCTGAGCAAGGAGCCCGATGTGGGACTCGATCCCAGGACGCCGGATCATGACCTGAGCCGAAGGCAGCAGCTTAACCAACTGAGCCACCCAGGCTCCCCTTATTTTTATTTTTCATAGTAAATTGTTCTTAAGATATTAAGAAAAGGAGGGGTGCCTGGGTAGCTCAGTCAGTTAAGCGTCTGCCCGCAGTGCAGGTCATGGACCCAGGATCCTGGGATTGAGCCTCATGTTGCGCTCCTTGCTCTGCAGGGAGCCTGCTTCTCCCTTTCTCTCTGCCCTTCCTCCCCATTCATGCTCACATGCACTCACTCTCTCTCTCTCAAATAAATAAAATCTTTAAAGGAAAAAGAAATTAAGAAAAGGTTGTCTTTTTCTGTTGTCTTCCTCCTTGAGAATATATTGCTGGATATAGAACTCTAGGGTGCCTTTTTTATTTTCTTTTCAGCACTTAAAAGTGTTCCACGATCCTTTAGCTTGTACTGTTTTGAATAAAAAGTCAGCTGTTACTATTCTCTCCCTTTAGGTGACATGCCTTTCTATTTGTTTATACCAACTTCTCTTGTTTTTCTGTTCCTCCTTTCTTGCCTTCTTCTGATCTTCCCTTTTGTCTTTGCCTTTCAGCAGTTTTACTGCGATGTGCCCAGGGATGATTTTCTTTGCATTTATTCTTTTGAGGGTTTGCTGAGCTTCTTGGATCTGTGGCTAGATTTTTTTTTTCTGTCAAATTTGGAAAATTTTCAGCGTTTGTTTCTTAGTATTTTTTCTGCCCATTCTTTTATCTCCTGAGATTCTAATTACAGGTGTATTAAACTACTTGGTATTATCCTGGGTTATTTGTTGTTTTCCTCTTGCTTCAGTTTGGATAATATCTATTGACCTCTCGAGTTTCAAGTTTCATAGATCTCATCTTTGTCAGGGTTCAGTCTGCCACTAAGTCCGTTCAGTGGATTTTTCTCATTTGTAGAATTTTCATTTAATTCTTTAGCATTTCTCTCTCTTCCTCAATTTCCTGTGTTTTCACCTATTCTAACCTTTTTTTTTTTTTTTTTTTTTTTGAGTTAGAGAGCGAGCAGGGGCAGGAAGGGGCAGAGGGAAAGGGAGAGAGAGAGGCTCTCAAGCAGGCTCCACACCCAGCACAGAGCCTGACACTGGGCATGATCTCACAACCCTGAGATTATGACTTGAACTAAAATCAAGAGTCAGATGCTTAACCAACTGAGCCACCCAGGTGCCCCTCTATCCATACTTTACTGTAAATTTTTAACATATATTTTAATAATTGCTTTAAAGTTCTTGTCTGCTAATTCCAATGACTTGGTCACCTATGGGTTTACTTCTATTGATTTTTGTTTTCTTGATTATAGATCAGATTTCTTCCTCCTTCACATAACTGTAACAGGTTTTTTTTTTGTTTTGTTTTTTTTGTTTTTTTTAGTAGTTCAGATATTGGGTATTAAAGGACAGTGGGGGATGAAATATAGTTTGTTTAGTTCTGTTTATTTCCAGGAGACTAAGCCCTTTCCTCTGTCTGGCGGTTAAGGTGGGGGCCTGATTATTCATATTCCCCCTAGAGCTCTGGCTGAAATAACTTTTATTTGGTGAGTTCACTTCTGATTAACCCCAACTGCAAAAGCCTGTGCCATCACAGCTGGGGTAGGGGGGGGCACTGATCTTTTTTAGATCTTCGAGTATTTTAGCTAGGAAGGGGTTAGACTGCAGTTCCAGACGGCTTTGTTCATCTTTGCATTAAACTCCAGTGGGTACCCAGAATGTAAGCTCAGCAGGAATGCATTGGTTTCATGACAATAAGGGTTGAAAGCCTCTCTCTCCTTCCCTCCCCCCTCCGAAGCCTCTCTAATCTCATCTCCTACTCCTTCCTTCACCACCCTCCACCATTGATGCTATTCACTCTACTATTCCTGAGACAAGCCAAGGATGCTCTTGTTTTAGGTCCTTTGTACCTGCCTGGAATGCTGTCCCCTCAGATCTCCACAGAGCTCTCCCTCACTGAATTCATGTCTCTGATCAGATACCACCTTTTTCGAGAGGCCTTCCCCTACCATCCTGCATAGAAGATCGTCCTCTCCCCTCACCATGTTCTCCATCTTCCTCCCTTATCCTGCTTAATTTTTTTCGAAGGCACGTATGACCATCTGTTTTTCTAAGTATTTATTGATGATAATCTCTAGAGGATTTTCAACCACTTCCAGAGGAGGCTTCCAGTAGAACTAGTTTAGAATCTCTCAGAACTTAGAATTCTCTCAGAACTCTTTGGACCTTGATGGAGGTGGACTCTCTCTGAAAAGGAATATATTCAATATTCTAGGAACTGTTGACCTTTAAGGACATATCCGTGGACTTCACCCAGGAGGAATGGGGACAACTGCCCCTTGCTCACCGGAATCTGTACCGGGAGGTGATGCTGGAGAACTATGGGAACTTGGTCTCAGTGGGTAAGGACGGGTGAGACAGTCACCCAGAAAACCTGCCCATTACAGGAGAGTCATTATTTCTAAATTATCAAATGTTGTGGATTCCCTGGAGTTTGGCCTTGGGTTTCTTTCTTTCTTTTTTTTTTTTTTAAGATTTTATTTATTTATTTGACAGAGATCACAAGTAGGCAGAGAAGCAGGCAGAGAGAGAGAGAGAGAGGGAGCAGGCTCCCCACTGAGCAGAGAGCCTGATGTGGGGCTTGATCCCAGGACCCTGGGATCACGACCTGAGCCGAAGGCAGAGGCTTCAACCCACTGAGCCACCCAGGTGCCCCTGGCCTCGGGTTTTGTATTAGAGATGTCTCATTCCTTGGGGATACAGCTTTACTTGGTAGAGCTAGAATAGAAAGACATTCTGTGGTGCCCCTTTCCATCTTTAGAGACCCTGAATATCAGAGGACTAGAATGACATTCTGGGGATGGTTCTTAGAACCCAACATAAGCATTCATGCTTCTTCTTCTTCTTCTTCTTTTTACTTTATAAGCAGGATATCAACTTTCCAAACCTAGTGTGATATCCCAGTTGGAGAAAGGACAAGAACCATGGATGACAGAGAAAGAAGTCCCAGAAGATCCCAGTTCCGGTGAGACTCAGACAGGTAGTACATTTTAATATGTAGGCCCGAGTCCCTGAATTCTTCCCACAGCCCCTGGACAGGACATGCTCTAAACCTGACTTCACCCCGCCCTCCGTTTCCTTCACCTGACCTTGCAACAGTCTCTTCGGAGTTGGAGGGAAGGGAATCTTGTCTTCATTAAGGTTAAACTTGACTTTCCCTCTTTTCTTCAGTATCCTGACCTCTGAATTGAAAGCTCCTTTCTCTAAGCAGTAAGTTGTGCATGGTCTCTCCTCACAGGAAACACCTCTTTTCAGGACTCTCACTGCATTTGACAGATCTTTAATTTTCTCTCTTGCATTCTATTTCCACTTTTTGCTAACTTCCATTTTACAATTTCAGCTTTGATTCTCACTGTCTTTTAAACTCATGTATCTTTTGTATTTTTGTAACTACTGTATGAAAATTCTTGCAAGAGAAATTACCACAGGATACTTTCTCCCCAAATTCAGTGGTCCTTAACCATCTCCTTAAATTTTGTTTTATTATGAAATATTTTAGGTGTTCAGTAAGGGATAGAGAACATTGTAACAAACTTCTATGTAGCTTCCAACTAGATTAAGATAAAAAAGAGTTAAAGCCCTGCTGTGACCCTCCTACCTTTTCAAATAACCAGCTCTTCAGAGTTTAAATATAGTCATTTTCACATGTGTCTTCATACTTTTATTACATGTGTATATCCCAAAACAATATATAATTTTGTTTTGCATGTTCTTATTCTTTCAATAAATCGTGTATATACTTCTACTTACTTCTCTCATTCAACATGGTTGCTATCTGTGTTGCTCTAGTTCTTTTTTTCCATTGAATCAATTAACCACAATTTATTTAGCCATTTTCCTATTAATATGCATTTATATTGTTTCTGAGATTGAGGGTTACCAAGATGCATTGTCTTCCTGTGTACATAGGCAAGGATTTCTGAGATGTCTGGTGGGAGCAAAATTGTTGGGTCATGGTATATATGCACCTTCATTTTGTTGTGCTACAAAGCAGTTGCACCAATTTGTACTCCCATCAGCAAGCTTTAAGAGTTTCCAGAGCAAATTTTAAAATTATCGTAGGGGTGCCTGTGTGGCTCAGTCAGTTGAACATCCGACTCTTGATTTCAGCTCAGGTCAGGATCTCAGGGCCGTGGAATCAGGCCCCATCTCAGACTCAACACTCAGAGTGGAGTCTGCTCCAGATTCCTTCTCCCCTCTGACCCCACCCCTCAAATAAATAAAGTTGTTTTTTTTTTTTAATTTATTTATTTATTTGTCAGGGACAGAGGGAGAGAGAGCGAGCGAGCACAGGCAGACAGAGAGGCAGGCAGAGGCAGAGGGAGAAGCAGGTTCCCTGCTGAGCAAGGAGCCTGATGTGGGACTCGATCCCAGGATACTGGGATCATGACCTGAGCCAAAGGCAGCTGCTTAACCAACTGAGCCACCCAGGCGTCCCATAAGTAAAGTTTTTAAAAATTAAATAAATAAAATTATTGTGAATTTACGGGTGAGTATGGTATCTTGTTGTGTCTTTCATTTTCCTGATTACTAGTAAGAGGAGCATACTTTTCATGTTTATTGACCATCCAGAATTCTCGTATGTAAATTGTTTATGTCCTTTGCCAATTGTTCTATTATTATCTCTTTTCTGGACCATAGAAAAATGATGTAATATTTATTGTCTTAAATTTAAAAATTTGGATATTCATATTTGGAATTCATTCACCTGGAATCATTTGATATTTAGTATGAGGTGAGGATCTACTTTGACTTTCTCCACATGGATGATCAGTCCAGGAACCATTATTTAATAGTTAATGACAGTCTGTTACCTCTCAAGCTTCCTTATATACTTGGATCTGTTGTAGGCACTCTGCATTCTGTTCTGTTTTTCTATTCTAGCCCTACTCTAATGGCAAGCTAATTACTGTATTTCATTGTGAAACTGCATATTTGATAGAGGTAGTTCTCCCATTTTGTTCTTCAGAATTGTCCAGGTTATTCTTAGCCTCTTGCTTTTTCCATATAAATGAGTGCATCAGATTTCACACACTCTCTCTCTCTCTCACACACACACACGCACACACACACACACAGTATGTGCATGTGCACAAGTACTCCAGTGATATTTTGATTGGAATAGAAGTGGATTTATAGATCAACTTTGGGGGGAATTAATATTATGATACTGAGTTTTATTATTCCAGAAACATGGTATATTGCCCCATTTATTGGTATTTCCTAACGTTTTTAAAAATAAAGTTTCAGTATTTTCCCTATGAAGGTTTTCCTTCAAATTACACCTTTTAGGTTCATCTTGAAGACCTTATATTTTGCTATCATAGATAATGTATATATTATATTTTAAAAATATATTTATTTATTTTAAATATTTTATTTGCTTATTTGATAGAGACGTAGAGAGAGCACAAGTAGGTGGAGTGGCAAGCAGTGGGAGAGGTAGAAGCAGGCTCTCTGCTGAGCAGGGAATCTGATGTGGGCTCGATCCCAGAACCCTGGGATCATGACCTGAGCCGAAGGCAGATGCTTGAATGACTGAGCCACCAAGGTGCCCTGATAGTATATTTTTAAATTATGTTTTCTGTTTGTTGTTGGTGTGTAATAGCATATTTGATTTTATATATTGATCTTATAGCCAGCCACCTTGTTTTCCTCCATTATTAATTCTAATAATTTGTTTATATATTCTCTTGGGTTTTCTCTTTTTCAACTTCTCTCTTTCCCTGTCCTCTTCTCTTCTGCCTCCCATATTCAGGACTAGAATAAGAAGCCTACAGAACATAGACTCTATTATTGCCTTTAGTCATTAAGAATTTGGAAGTACTGGGGCGCCTGGGTGGCTCAGTTGGTTAAGCGACTGCCTTTGGCTCAGGTCATGATCCTGGAGTCCCGGGACTGAATCCCGCTTTGGGCTCCCAGCTCCACGGTGAATGTGCTTCTCCCTTTGACCTTCTCCCCTCTTTGGCTCTCTCACTCTCTCTCTCTCTCAAATAAATAAATAAAATCTTTAAAAAAAAAGAATTTGGAAGTACTAATGATCCTTTTGTGTTGAACAAAAAAATCTTATAAGAAGTTATACCTTTCAGGATACAGCTCTGTCAATTGAAACATTGGTAATATAAACAAATTATCAGGTAAAAAAGCTAGTCAGGGGGCACCTGGGTGACTCAGCGGGTTAAAGCCTCTGCCTTCAGCTCGGGTCATGATCCCAGGGTCCTGGGATCGAGCCCCGCGTCGGGCTCTCTGCTCTGCGGGGAGCCTGCTTTCTCCTCTCTCTCTCTGCCTGCCTCTCTGCCTACTTGTGATCTCTATCTGTCAAGTAAATAAATAAAATCTTAAAAAAAAAAAAAAAAAGCTAGTCAGAATTTTAAAGGTTAAAAGATATTTTCAGGGGCACCTGGGTGGTTCAGTTAAGTGTTTGACTCTTGATTTTGGCTTAGGTCATGATCTCAGGGTTGTGAGATTGAGCCCCGCCAGGCATGGAGTAGAGCCTTTTTAAGATTCTGTCTCTCGGGGTGCCTGGGTGGCTCAGTTGGTTAGGCAACTGCCTTCAGCTCAGGTCATGATCCTGGAGTCCTGGGATCGAGTCCCGCATCGGGCTCCAGTTCTACTGGGAGTCTGCTTCTCCCTCTGACCTTCTCCTCGCTCATGCTCTCTCTCACTGTCTCTCTCTCTCAAATAAATAAATAAAAATAAAATAGTAAAAAAAAAAAAAGATTGTGTCTCTCCCTCCCCCTCTGTTACTCCCCTCCCCCACCAAAAAAGATAAAAGATGTTTTCATAGAACATAGCAGTAATAGCAACATAGTTGGGGTTTCTTACAAATCTCCTTTCTAGGGACAGACTAATAACCACAGAAAGTAGAACAATGTAAATATTAATACAATTCACTAAAAGCTTAATGTTTTTTTTTTTTTTAAGATTTTTTTTTTTTTAAAGATTTTATTTATTTATTTGTCAGAGAAAGAGAGGGAGAGAGAGCGAGCACAGGCAGACAGAATAGCAGGCAGAGGCAGAGGGAGAAGCAGGCTCCCTGACGAGCAAGGAGCCCGATGTGGGACTCGATCCCAGGACGCTGGGATCATGACCTGAGCCGAAGGCAGCTGCTTAACCAACTGAGCCACCCAGGCGTCCCTAAAAGCTTAATGTTTTTATGAAAGTTCTTGGTTCAGACCTTATTTTTTGAACGAGCTTCTCCTGCTGCTGCTCATGTGGGGAGATGGTTTTCTAACAGTAGTTGTCAATGAAAAAGATATTCATAAGCCATCACTCTGAAATATCATAATTTAATATTAGAAAGAATAGGTCTAATGTGCTCAAATTTTACTCTGTATATTAAATCACACATTTTTCTTATTTACTGTTTCTTAACTTCCCATTACCTTCCATGGTTGCATCACCATATTCAATTATGCAGTTGACCCTTGAACAACACTGGTTTATACTACGTGGGTCCACTTATATGTGGATTTTTCACAGCACTATAAATGTATTTTTTCTTCCTTATAATTTAACATTTTCTCCTTATTGTAAGACTGTAGTGTATGATACATATAACATAAAAAAATTTATTAATTGACTTATCAGTAAGGCTTCTAGGCAACAGGAGGCTACTAGTTGTTAAGTTCTGGGGGGGAGTCAAGAGTTCTACTTGGATTTTTTTTTACTGCCTTGGGGTTGGTATCCCAACCCCCGTGTTGTTTAAGGGTCAACTGTAATCAGAACCTCATACGTAATATGTGTAGTTATCCTAATTTCTATTTCCTACTCATTGCAATAATTGATTTTTCAAAGCATAATGAATAGGAGTTACTTGCATTTCTTTCCCTTTCTTTCAGACTTGAGGACTAAAACAGAAACTGATGCATCAACTGCAAAGAACATTTTACAGGAACAGTTTTATCATGGCATTATGATGGAAGGGTTCCTGAGAGATGATGGCATTTATTCCACACTGAGAAAAGTCTCTAAATATGATAGTGACTTAGAAAGGCACCAGGAAGCCCATGGGAGAGATGTAAGACAAGCCATCCTGACCCACAAGAAGAGTGGCCAAGAAACTAACAAATTTGGGGAAAATATTGTTAGTTCAAACGTTATTATAGAGCAGAGGCACCGTAAATGTGATACACCTAGAAAGAGGAACAAATACAAGTTAGACCTGATCAATCATCCAAGTTACATAAGAACAAAAACCTATGAATGTAACATATGTGAAAAAAACTTCAAACAACCCATTCATCTCACTGAACACATGAGAATTCATACTGGTGAAAAGCCTTTCAGGTGTAAGGAGTGTGGAAGGGCCTTCAGTCAAAGTGCATCCCTGACTACGCACCAGAGGATCCATACTGGCGAGAAACCCTTTGAATGTGAAGAATGTGGCAAAGCCTTCCGACATCGCTCATCTCTTAATCAGCATCACAGAACTCACACTGGAGAGAAACCCTACGTGTGTGATAAATGTCAGAAAGCTTTCAGCCAGAACATCAGCTTGATCCAGCATCTGAGAACTCATTCTGGAGAGAAACCTTTTACGTGCAATGAGTGTGGGAAAACCTTCCGGCAGGTCAGGCACCTTAGTGAACACATAAGAATTCACACTGGGGAGAAGCCCTACGCGTGCACCGCGTGTTGTAAAACCTTTAGTCATAGAGCGTATCTAACACATCACCAGAGAATCCATACTGGGGAGAGACCCTATAAATGCAAGGAATGTGGAAAAGCCTTTAGGCAGAGGATACACCTTAGCAACCATAAAACTGTTCATACAGGAGTGAAAGCATATGAATGCAGCCGCTGTGGAAAAGCCTACCGGCATGATTCCTCCTTTAAGAAACATCAGAGACACCACACTGGAGAAAAACCTTATGAATGTAATGAGTGTGGAAAAGCCTTCAGCTACAACTCATCACTTAGCCGACACCATGAGATACACAGGAGGAATGCCTTTCGAAATAACGTGTGAGAGTCGATTACTCAACATGAGAACAAAAGCCAGCTCTAAATCAATGATTCTGTGTTTTTAAATTCCAGGATTCTGAATTTGAGTAATTGGTATCATGATGCCAGCTTTTAATTTTGCCCATTATGTAAATAAACAGTACACCAATAACTACTATCTACTAACACCTCCAGACAAAATACTTAATCAAGAATAAAGGATGGTCCTTCAAATTAAATTCAGCATTATGGAGAGTGCACACTTAATTGTTATCTTTCTGATTTCATGGTGGATCAGTTGTTCTCCATGGCCATTCACTGATTTATAGACTAACAATTGGGATGAACTGTTGAAAATGTCACCACCCCTATTTTTTAAGTAAACTTTTATTTTTTCAATGGGGAAACTTAAAAATGGGGTAAGGCTCAAAAGGCATAGACAGTCATATAAGGGAAGTCCTTTTCCTACATCCCCAAATTTTTTATAGAGGCAACAATTTTTTATAACTAATTTTTTTTGTGCACCCTTCCAGAGATTTTTGTATTTGTATCCAAGAGAATACAAATGAAGAGTTTTTCTTTTTAAGCATAACACATCTGCACTTTACTTTTATCATTTAACCATTTATCACGAAAGTCATTCCATATTAGTGGATAAAGTGCCTACTAGTTCCTTTTTACAACTGCATAGTATTCTGTGGTTTGGATGTACTTTAATTTATTTAGCCAGTTCACTATGGATGGACTTTTGGATTTCCATTCTTTAGTTGCAATGAATAGTCTTAAACATTTTTTAAATTTCTCAGACACATAAGTAGACATGTAGGGTAAATTTTGAGAACTGGAATCTCTTACTAGAGGGCATGTGCATTTTTATGATGGATATTGCCAAACTGGCCTTTATAGAGAGGTTGGACTGATCTGTTTTCCTACCAGCAAGATAGAGAACTGTAGGACCCACTTGATGCTGAAGCATGTGCTGGACCAACTGCCCTTTTAATCATCAAAGAAGTATCCGTTTGTCTCAGTAACTTAGCCCAGAAGTACCAGCTGAGCTGCAGCCCCAGGAAGAGTGGTGCTTGCCGTCCTGGAGCCAGAGAAGAATCTGCATTTTCCTGAAGCTAAGCCCACCAAAATCTCAGCCGGAGAAGGAGAAACCCTTTCTCCACCAACTACTCCAGTCCCTAATTCTGAGGCTGGAGCTGCCTGATCAGTGAGAGTCCCTTTTAAGGAGGCCAATACACTTGTCATAGCAAGTAAAATTGTGGCTGCAGCCCTTCTGATGGGATGGAGGAACACGGACAATTGAGTCAGGGTTCTCAGGATGGCAGGGTGTACCATGGATGGTCAACCACACAGCCTTTTACAGGATGGTTATGTTAGCAAGTTACAGTTAACACACGGAGGAAGACAGAAAAGAGGTAGGATGTGACTTTCTAATAAGCATTAATGAATGAAAGCATTAATTAGCATTGCTCATGTCTGAGAAAACTGAGCACCAAGATTAGGACCACATGGCTTTGTACATGTTCATTTTTCAATTTGGTAAACATTTACCAAACGTATTACAGTTTCAGTGATTCTGTAAAATAGTAATGGAGTTCCCCTTATCTCTATCCCACTGCCACTACTCGTGATAAACCAAAGCCTGGCACTTGGGTCCTCCTTTGTAACTAGTGCTACTTTATAGTTCCATCTCCTATTTTCCTCTTTCCCACGTGGGCTATGGCTAAACAGACTAGTTGAGACTCTTTGATCAAATAACACAAGTCATTTGGGGGTGATTTAAGTCTTAAAGTGGGAGTATTGTTAGAAAGATATTGGGGTATCCTGTAATTCATGGGCTGCAACACATTCTAACAGCAGACTTGAACTAGGACCTGAAGCACTTGAGAAAACCCAGGCAGCTTTCTCTCCATCTCTCACAGGAGCTTTTTATGTCTTTTCTTTTTTTTTTTTTTTAACACCTTGTAGCAAATCACAGTTACCATCAGCTCCAGATTTTATATATATTGTTTCCATCATCCAGATAAAAGATAACTGTCTTCTCTTTCTTCTTTCCAACTTTAAAATCCTAGGGCAAGTCTCGTATTGGCCCAGCCAGGTCAGGTGCCCACCTCTAGGTAGGCAGAGAACTTCTATGGGAACCGTGTGGATGGTGTGAATTGGGTGGGTGGTTTGGGGGGGGGGTGTCTGGAGGGGCAAGAGAGCGGAAAGGGTTACTGTTCATAGAATTCCAGATCCTAACTCACTCTTTGATACCAGTGCATAGGATCAGATTTTTAGAACTGGGAAGGGTCTAGGAATTCACTTAATTAGAACTTCTCACTTTAGGGATGCCTGGGTGGTTCAGTCAGTTAAGTGTCTGCTTTTGGCTTAGGTCATGGTCCCAGGGTCCTGAGATTGAATCCTTGATTTACTCCTTGCTCAGCAGGGATCCTGCTTCTTCCTCTGCCTGCCACTCCCCCTGCTTGTGCTCCCTCTTTCACACAAATAAATAAAATCTTAAAAAAAAAAACCCACTTTATAGATGAAGAAACAGAGAGTGCCCTTTAATTATTCATGTCCTTTACTTGTATTTTTGAGCATTTTTTCTCCAGTTTTAGCCTAGCTTTACAAACACCTGCCCTTAATGGCTATATGAAACTGTTCTTTGCCATTCTAAGTTTTATTTCTTAGATCTGCTACTGCTTCAGGAGATCTTAATAACTTTAGAGCTTGTCCATTGGTTTTGCCTATTTTTGCCTGTTCCTTCTTTCTGGTTATCTTACAGGCACTTCTCCCTTTGCTGATCATGTAAATGCTCTTCCCCGGGCCTGAGTCCTTTAGTCATGTTCTTTCCCCAAGCTACACATTTTGTCTAACTGATTTTGTTAACATCTCAATACTTTTTAAATCTACATCTGTATCTTAGGAATGTCTCCTGAACTCCAGAACATCATAGTCCGCATCCTACTGAATATCTCCATTTGGATATCCCATAGTCACCTCAAAGTATGTTCAAAACCCAACTCATAATCTTCTCAACAAAATCTGTATCCTCAGTCCAGTGATTGGTACCACCCTCTTTCCAGTTCTCCAGTTTAAACTTCCTCCTCATCCATCACCTCTCTCAGTCACTATGTCCTATATATTCTATTTGGGATCTCTATTGTCTTCCTCTCTGTTCCCATTGTCAGTTCTCTAATTAGGAATAGGCTGTTAGCATGTCCTAACTGCTTAAATGGGATTCCAACTGGTTTTTCTATAATCTGGACTCATCATTTTTTTTCAAGTTTGGTATTAATTTTATTCTATTTTCTGTATATCTTTTAAGTACATAAAGGTTTATTTCCACAGGCCTCAGGAAATGGGTAGAAGTCACAGGACAATCTCTCTTACCACCAAAAAAGTTGCATATTTTGTAAGTGTCCTAGAGAGAAAAACTGTAATTTACATTAGCAGTGCTGTGCAAGATCTTACATAAGACCTAAAACCAAGCTGCAGTTGAGATTTTAGTCCTTCGTTCAGGTGCCCGGACAGAAGCCAAAAGCAGTTGAGCATGACAGGGCAAAGGAGGCAGTGAAGGCGGAGGACAGGCACCCAGCATGGAAGGAGGAAGGAATTCCAGATCCCTTGGAATGGTGTGTTTTCTTTTCTTTTTTTTTTTTTTTCCTTCCCTTGTTTAAGTCATCTCTGTAGGAAGGTGCTGGGTAGGGATCCCAGTAAAAGGAAGAGGCCAAGACTCCTTTAACTGGCCTAGGTGCAGGGCACTGCCACAGTGGCTGACACAGGAGAACGTACTTCCCAGGTTCAGGCAGAGCCAGTATGGAATGCAGAATGAAAGGAATGCTTATGGGAAACAATTCTGCTTGGAATGCTAGCTGGCCAGCTTCAGCCCTTGGTCTGATGCAACCCCTGCCTCACTTGTCAACAGTGAAAAATTAGTTCAGTTAGAAGAACCCGCTAGAATCACACCTGCCTCTGCTACCTTCACGCTCATTGTTAGAAAAAGATGAACTTGTGTGAACATTCTGATCTGTTAATTCCTGGGGACTGCTTTAGTCTTCCCAAAGACTGTTGGTCAAATAGCCTGCAAAGGCTGAAAGCTTAGACACGCCAGTGCTGGTGTGCGGTTCCTTAAGGAGCGACTGGCGGTGTGGTTGAGCTGATAGGGAAAAGCTGCACCTTCCTGCAGAAGATGAACTGACCTGCTCTCCCGCCCCAAATCTCAGCCTGAGGTATATTTCAGTGAAGGTAGGTAGCTGTGCTTCTCAAAGCAGAGAAGCAGTTGAAGAGCAGAAAGGTAGAGGAAACCTAGCATGTTTATCCCATGGTGTGAGGGAGAGGGCAAAGAACCTGGTGGCACTTCGCTTATCCAGCAGTTTGTCACTGTGGTGACCAACTTCTGCCCGTTCCATAGGGTCTTGAACTGCTCAGGGACTGGGAATTTATTAAAGTCACGGCCTTCTGCAGGAATGAGGACATTCATCTCAGAAGATTTGGCACTGGGGCGTGCCTGGGTGTCTCAGTTAAGCATCTATCTTCAGCTCAGGTCATGATCCCAGGGTCCTGCCCAGTGGGGAGCCTACTTCTCCCTCTCCCTCTGCCCAATCCCCTGCTCATTCCCTCTCTCTCCTCTCCTCTTCTGTCTCTTAAATAGATAGATAGATAGATAAATAAATAAATATCTTTTGAAAAAGAAGGTTTGGCAATAACTGTCTTGCAATTCAGGGAATTCTTGCTCAGGTAAACGGGCAGTCATCTGTTTTGTTGATGAAAATTGTTGGCCCTTTACACATTGCATGAACTTTGACATCCTACTATTGATTATATCCATAATGCCTGCCAAGTCATCAAATACCAGACCAAGTTTCTTAGTTATCTACTGTAATGGAGTTTAGTTTGCCCTTGATTTGCAATGTCGTGTTGACACACTTGTATATGTAAGCCACCTGTTTCAGCTCCGTGTCATCAGTCACCAGGTTGGGAATGTTCTCGTGACTTTCCACTCTCCACTTCTTGCCCTCCAGTTCCAGTACAGCTGGCTCCTTCTTTGTGGTTGGTCTGGGGAATGGGCTGACTCCTGGTTTAGGTGCAGAGAACAGTTTGGGGCCACTTAGTACTGGACCACTCTGAGCCTTCAGGGCAGGGTTCCTGTCATCTGGACACAGGATTCTGTTCCTGTGTCTTTGTGTTATCAGGTACCGCTTTCAGGGAATGTGTGATGCTCTCCCCTTGTTTGCTGAGGGGGAAGCAGACTCATCTGAGCCTGAACTCGGGGAACTGGATGGTGGAGGATCTTGGGGGGGAGGAGGAAGACTAGATCCAGCAGAGGGGCCAGATGGCAATCCACTCAGTTCTGCCACAGGCTCCGTTTTGGTCCAAGCCAGTCCAGTGGGACGTAACTCCTTAATGTAAGCCTGTAGCTCTGTCCATATCCTCAAGTAAGCTTTGATCCAGTACACATGCTTCTCATTGACATCTTTGTACTCCTTGAGGACCAGGTTTGTATAAAACATGGCTGCATCATTCATTTCTTTCACGTAGGGACCAGGCTTGGGAGCCACAGCCACCCAACCTAGAGCCTGGATATTTTTCCTGATGGCTGACAGGTGATTGAACAACTTGCTGCCTTGGTTCATCTCCAGAAAGGTTCCTGGATCTGCTCTGAGCTGGGCGCCAACAAATCAGAAAGTTTATTGCCTGCTGACTGCTGGCGCTGAGAGACTGTGACCAAGAGAGTCTGCTCCAACCTCAGCCCTGTGTGGACCATCTCTGCATGTTTCTACACATCTACCCCAATTTCTTTACTGATCCACAGGTACTCCGCCACAGACCTGGCAGGCAGTGAGTCAAATAGTTGCACATATGGAGTGGCTCCTGCTTTGGGAGCACTGTCTCCGTACCCACAGTGCACATCAGAGCCACGGGATTCTGCCTCCAGGAGGTCCACTGCCTTCCATTCTTTCTACCAGATTTTGCATGTCAGCCACAGCATACCACCTGCTCAGAGTTCTGCCTCACTTCCAGACTTGGACTCACTTTTCTCTCCTCCCCACTGCTGCTAGAGTGATCATTCCAAAACACATATTGAATCAAACTTAATCTATTTGCATCACATTGCTTAAAATCCCTCAATGAGTTCTCACAACTTGAAGATAAACTTCATCTTCTGTATTCTTCTTTTTTCCAGATTTTACTTATTTATTTGATAGTGAGAGACACAGCAAGAGGGGGAACACAAGCAAGGGGAGTGGGAGAGGGAGAACAGGCTTCCTGCGGAGCAGGGAGCTGGATGCAGGGCTCCATCCCAGGACCCTGGGATCATGACCTGAGCCAAAGGCTTACACTCAACCAGTTGAGTGACCCAGATGCTCCTTCTGTATTCTTCCTAATACAGAACACCTGGCATAGAGCATTACCTATTTTTCTGGCAGTGGCTCCCAAATTTCCCCTCAAGCATATTTTGCTCCAGTCATTAAGATCTTATAGTCCTGTAAATATTCCATTCAATATATTACATGGTTTCTGGTCCTCAATTATGCTATTTTTCTTCCTTCTGCCCAATTTTTTTGTTCAATTAGCTCCTACTTATCCTCCCAGATTAAATTTGTATTACATCATCAGGGAATACTGCACACAATTTATGCCTTCTCGGATCAACACTTGAATTTTTGGCTGAATTTACTAAATAAAGAGATAGGCCTTATCTTACAGGATTTTTGAAATCAAAGACTGACAACATGGAGTTTTAATTTTATCATATTACTCTGGAATCAGCATGTAAGACCATGGGGTCAACATGAAGCAAGAGCCATAAATAGTGCACCATTTCAATTTAAGTTGTTGCTTGTTTCACTTCCTTTTCTTATTCTTGCTACTATGGGTTTGCACTTCCAAAAAGAAAAAGAAAAAAAAAAAAACCAAACATCTAATCTTTGCTCTAGGCTCTGTTTTCTGGAAGACTCTGGCTAAGGTAAGGTTATAACCCCAGTTCGATTAATCAGGGTCAAGGGGACAATTTTTGGATTTATCTTTGAGATATCAGGGAAAGAGGCTTCCTTCTTTGCCACTAGACACAAATCTGGAAGGTTATATTCCTGGAAACTACTGGCAGTGGAAAAGGAGGGAGGCTACTTGGAAATGGAGCAAACATAGAAGATCCAAGAAATGGAGACAGACAACTCAATTCTGGTCACACTATTTGATCCCTGATCAAGCTTCACCTGAAGGTAGAACCCTGGGTTTTCAATCTCTTATAAACGAATAAGTCCTAATTGATTCAGGCTTCATCAGAAGCTGCGTGTTTTTAGAACCATGCCTCAGTCTTACATCCTTAGTGCAGTCTGACATCCTTAGCTCATTTCCACCTCCCTCAACCTCATCACTTAGGGCCATCTTCTCTGGCTCTCTCCAAGCAAGCAATACCCTTTTGAATTACCAGAAATAGGTGTTTGGCCAAAGAGAGGCTGATCTTAATATGTGGAAGAAAAGATTTTCAAATACAGAATATTGTCAGTGGGCTTCTCTTGAGCATATAAAAATTATATTAATAACTGTTATAGCACCTGTGAGGAACACAAACGAGCAAAATAAATTCCCTGCCCTTAGGCTCTGATGCCCTAGAGCAGCACGTCCAAGAGAAATACAGTGTGAGCCACAACACAAATGTGAACCACATAGGTAATTTTAAATTTTCTGGCAGCTACATTAATATAATAAAAATAAGTAAAATTTATTTAAAAATATATTCATTTGGACCCAATATATAAAAATGTTATAATTTGAACATGTAATTAATATAAAAATCATGTGTTATTGTCTTTTTTGTACTAAGTTTTCAAAATCTAGTATTTTGTAGTTAGAGTAGATCTTTCTGGACTAGCCACATTTCCAGTGCTCAAGAGAACCTCATGTAGCTAGTGGTTACTTCACTTGACAGTGCAGCTCTAGAGAGTAACCATACAGAGAAACACCTTTATCGTATAGACTCTTATTTGGTAGATTATAATCAGTGCGATGTTAGAGGTACAAATCCTGTGCTCTGAAAGAGGAAGGAAGGAGAGATGGAAAGAGAGACAAACAGATCATTTGTGTCTAACAGTATTTCCATGGTTACAGATATCCTTGGAGATGGATGAACTGTATCAGTGAGTTTTGTATAGGAATGGGCCTTAAATGCCCACACTTCTTAGAATAGCCTTTTGGGGAAAGGGTATCACTTTCTAAAATTTGAGTCCCACAGTGCTGAGAATGAAAGCTTTGGGGAACATGGTCCTCCTGCTTGGGAATCTCTTCTGCTTCACTCCCCCAAGCAGCATACCCTGCACTGCAAACTTCGTTTGAAGATACATTGAAAGGTTGAGAGAGACTTTCCTGACTTTGGAAGTTACATTTTGGCTACAGAAGATTATACTGGGGAGGAGGCAGAAACCTTCTCCAGCCTCAACCCAGCAATACCTACTCATTTCACTTGATTAAAAAGATTGTCCTCAACTTTCATATTTCTGAGATCAAGGATGTTTTCCTACACAACCACAAAATCATTATCACACCCAGGGTACTCATAATTGATAACTATTATCTAATATACAAGTCACATTTAATTTCCCAACTGTCCTTTCTAGTATTCTTTATTTTATTTTTTATTTTTTTAAAAAGTTTTTATTTATTTATTTGACAGACAGAGATCACAAGCAGGCAGAGAGGGAGAGAGGAGGAAGCAGGCTCGCCAATGAGCAGAAAGCCGGATGCGGGGCTCCATCCCAGGACCCTGGGATCATGACCTGAGCTGAAGGCAGAGGCTTTAACCCACTGAGCCACCCAGGCGCCCCTTCTTTATTTTATTTTTAGGAAATCTTTGCCTATTTTGAAGTCCAAACAATAGTTTACTGTATTATATTCTAAAAGCTTTAGGGTGCCTGGGTGGCTTAGTTGGTTAAGCGTCTGCCTTGGGCTCAAGTCCTGATCCCAGAGTCCTGGGACTCAGTCCCCTGGGCAGGGTGGGGGGGTGTGGGGGTGTCTCTGCTCAGCAGTGAGTCTGCTCTCCCTCTGCCACTCCTCTCACTCCTTTTCTCAATCTGTTTCTCCCTCAAATAAAATAAGATCCGAAAAAAATAAAAGCTTTCTAGTTTAGTTTTTCACGTTTAAGACTTTAATACTCCTGGAAATGATTTTGGTGAGGAAGTAAGATAAGAGGTCTCATTTCATATATATTTTTTTAATAAGAATACCCTATTGTCACAGAACGTTCATTGAAAAGACCATCTTTTTTCTCCTTTGCTATGCGATGCCACCTTTATTGTAAATCAAGTTTCCCACGTGTGATAAAACTGTAAAGCAAGGAAGTGACTGTCCTAAAAGTCAGGCTAGTGCGTTTCCTCAGGAAGGGGCGTTGGGGGTGTATTTGGAAAGCAACAGTCACTTTTCTATTTTTGACCTAAGGATGACGTATCTTTTCAATACTTAATATTTACCTTTATTTTCTATTTCAGAATATAGCTGTGTTAAAGGGTTACAAGACGGGCGCCAGCATCTTTGCAAAGGGAGCTCGTGGCTGTTCTCAGCAGGGAACGCTGGCGCGAGAAGCAAAGGCGGTGCTGAACCCAGAAGACAAAGCCTAGACCGCAGCACTGAACGGACAGAGGCGGGTGCACGGGGGTACAGGGACGCGCGCACACGTCTCTCGGACCCTGGCTTGGAGGTAGCCGGGAGCCCCGCCGCAGTGAGGGCTTCCGGGTCAGGCGACAGCGCCGTTCCGTCCCGATTTAAGCCAGACGCACGGCCAGCGGCGCGCGAGGACCGTCCGCCCCAAAGCGGCCGCTCACCTTAGCCCCCTACTCTACCCCGCCGCGGGAGGGAGTCCGGGGCGCCCGGGCACTCGCGACGACCAGGAGCCGCCGCTGAGGCCTCTGGGAGGGGGCGAGTCTCGGGCGGCCGCTGAGCATTCTGGGTGTATCTTCCTCCCGGGGGCTGTGCCTACTCGGCTGCTCAAGCTCTGCGGGCAGGTAAGGGGCAGCGCCCGGGAGCAGTTCCGAGGCCGCGGAGGAGCCGGGAAGAATCCGGGATTCGGAGGAGTAGCCAGGGATAGGACAAGGCCGAGGAATGGGGGTGGGGAGCTGAGGGGATGCGGTGTGGAGCGCAGGCGTCTGTCCTCGCTGTCGCCGCGGCCCCCGACTGGGAGCGGCCCGGGCAGCGGCTTGTCGTGTTTGCCTTCGCGGGCCGGGCTTCTGGACCTTTCACGGAGGTCCACTGGAACCCCTTGCCAAGCCGGCGACCCCTTGCTGTCATTTCCGACTCCCCCAAGACATTGTAGGGAGTGCTCAGTAAACTTTAGGGCAGGCGTGGAATTCCTGGCCCGACAGTGGTTTGGGGCTCTTCGAAAGGTCCGGGCTGAAGTAAGACTCTCCGGGCTGAAGTAAGACTCTCGGAGCCCACAAGTCAGGATGTTGAGAGTGAAGGTCGTGGCAGCCCCTCAGGCAGCCAGGAACCCATCAGAGAAGAAAAGCCTTTCACCTGAGGTTGCGGAGCACCTGGGCTGAGGTTTGGGGCTGGAAGAGGGACCTGATTTTGGAGCTCCTGGGGGACTTTGGTTATTTTTGACTCTTGCTTGCAGGGAGCAAAGATTGGATTAAGTAACTACATCCGGGTTGCGGGGTAAACGAAGTCATGGAGAATTTGATCCAGGAGCGAGGCAAGCGTTACCTCGCATCTGGGATGAGCAACAGCCTGTGTCGAGAGGATCAGAGAGGAGGAAACGCCGCACTGTGAGGGACTGGTCAGGTGAGAAAGGACCAAAAGTCTCCGTTCTACCACAGCATGCGCAGAGTTGCTGATCTGGATTCTTCAATGCAGACCTGGTTTTTCAGAGCTCTTTTCTCCTCCCCTGGCCGTGTCATTTTAGCATTCTGCACTTCCTGGTGAGGAGAAAGATCAGCCACCTCCCAGGGTAGTAGAAGTTTCCTCTTTCCTAAAGTTTAATTTCATTTGTCAGAGGGAATAGATAGACTATCATCTCTTCCTTGGGAAGGGAAGGGAGCTCCACATTTGTTGAATGTTAGTATGTATATAATGTTTTATCATTATTTTGGGTAGCTGAGTAGGGTCAGAAGGAGTGCTCCAAAGTGTCAGTAGCTTCAGGAAAAGGAAAAACTTGCCTAAGAATACTCATAAGGCAAGAGAATCTTACTAAATACTACTGACCTAGTCAGGATGGGATTTAGAATGTAGATCCATAGGACTCCAGACTCTTGCCATTGTTCTATTTCCTGAACATTTCGTTTCATTCACTTACCACCTAATAATTGTTACCATTCTTATGTATTACCTATATTGTTATTTTCATATTTTAAATTTTATACTTTCATTTATTTAAAAACCAGATTTGTCCTAAGAAATACTCTCTATGAAATTATGATTTGATGGAAACTCTAATAGCTTTATATTCTGAGATAAGTCTAAAAATGTTGACCCTTGTGCCATGTAAAATCATCTCATGTCAGAAAGATACAGACTTGCATTAGGGACACGGTGTACTGCATCGCCTGGATTTTTTTCTGTGTAGGAAAGTCCAGGCAACACATCTGAGTCTAAATTGTCCATCACCAGTGTATTGTTTTCTTCTTTTAGAGGAATAATTCCACAGAGAATGCCCCCTTTTTGTGTCTTCTCTATGAAACATTTCGCTTAACCTGTTCAGGGCTACCCTATTCTCAGTATGTAAAATAAATACAAAGTCCATACCTTCCAGGAGCTTACTCTCTCTTTGGTAGTTAATACTCACACATGAATTAATCTAAAACAGTACTGTTCAATAGAGCTTTCTGTGGTCAGGGTAATGTTCTGTATCTTTGCCTTATGATGTAGTACCCATTAGCCACATGTAGCTTTTGAACACTTGAGATGTGCCTAATGCAACAGAAAAATGGGGTTTTAAATTTTATTTTATTTTAGGGACACCTGAGTGGCTCAGTCAGTTAAGTGGCTGCCTTTAGCTCAGGTCGAGTCCTACATGGGGCTCCCTGCTCAGTGGAGGGCCTGCTTCTCCCTCTTCCTCTGCCTGCTGCTCCCTCTGCTTGTGTTCGTTCTCTCTCTCTCTCTGTCAAATAAGTAAATAAAGTCTTAAAAATAAGTAAATACATAAACTTTATGTTATTTTACTTAATTTAAATAGCCACATGTGGGGCACCTAGGTGGCTCAGTGGGTTAAGGTTCTGCCTTTGGCTCAGGTCATGATCTCAGGTCATGATCTCAGGATCGTGGGATTGAGCCCTGCATCGGGCTCTCTGCTCAGCAGGGAGCCTGCTTCCCTCCCTCCCCTCTGCCTGCCTCTCTGCCTACTTATGATCTCTGTCAAATAAGTAAATAAAATCTTTAAAAAAAAAAAATAGCCACATGTGGCTGATGGCTACATATTGGACAGCCCAGGTCTAAATATTTGAAAACAAAACAAAACAAAACAAACTTTCAAGGTCAGTTGATTTGGATTTAGTGCCCTCCCACTAGGGGGGAAAACACCCCAGGTGTACATGTTAATTGCCATTTAACTTCAGTTTCTTGACAGAGGGTCGATTCTCTCCCAACTTCCAGGGACTTCATAGTCCAACTAACATTACTCATTTTGAAACAGTCATCACCTAAGGCACATTTATAATTTAAGACACTTGTACAAATGTGTAGATTCTGTGTTTTATAACTATTAAAGTATCTTATAAAGCAATAACTGTATAGGATAGAAGCAGAAGTCTTCACATTGTATTACTTTTGTTCATTGCAAATAACTTTTCTTCCAGCTATATCTATGTTTCCTTTCATTAGGGACCTTCAGACTATTTTAAAATGAGTTAGGTACAACCATAACTAATAATACCATTTTCAAGGTATCAGTTCTTAAGCTTTTAATATGGGAATTGGTGCATTCAATTTATTCATTGCTTATTAGATTAGCAAAGAGAAAACTTAGCTCATAGTTACCTCAATCAGTTTAAATTCTGTGTCAGATTATTTTACTGGCACCTGGAGTCAAATACTGGTGGACTGGTCACACCTTGATTTGTTTTGTCTTGTCTCTATGCTAAATTAGATATGTGAGGTTGGGAAGAAGGCTTAAGAAGACTATCTTTACAAGGTAATTTGCCTAGTTTCTTAGGATTAAAAATGTTCGAGAGACAAAGCAAATCAAACATAATGTGTGTTCTTTGTTTCCTGGTTTAAAGAAAAGCTATCCAAGACATTATAGGGCAGTTGGGGAAATTTGAGTATCGATGGTAGTATTAGGGAATTATTAATTTTGTTAGATGTGATAACAACATTGTAGTTAATGTAGGAGGATGTCCTTATCTAGAAATGTATGCTGAAGCATTTATATCTATAAATGATATGTTGTGATATCTGCGATTTACTTTAAAATAGCCAAAGTAAAATAGCCAAAGAAAACGCACACATGAAAGATGCAAATACAGCAACATGTCAACAGTTGTTTGTCTATGTGGTATGTGTATAGATGTTCCTTGTTCTATTTCTCTGTATATGTGCAATTATTTGCAGCAAATTTTTAAAAAGAGTACCTGTCCCACAGTAGAGTAGTGAGGTCTTGGATGTAAAGCACTCGGTGGCTAGCACTCAGTAACTGTGCAATAAAACATTCACTGGTATAGCAGATATAGTGGTATTTTATGGTGCTTATTGACAGATTTTTTTTTAAGATTTTATTTATTTATTTGACAGAGATCACAAGTAGGCAGAGAGGCAGGCAGAGAGAGAGAGAGAGAGGAGGAAGCAGGCTCCCTGCCAAGCAGGGAGCCCGATGTGGGGCTCAATTCCAGGACCCTGAGATCATAACCTGAGCCGAAGGCAGAGGCTTTAACCCACTGAGCCACCCAGGCGCCTGACAGGTATTTTTAATCATCAGCTAATTTCTTGTGGAAGGAAAAAGTAAACCTAGTGGGAAACACCAATTTCTGTGACATTAGGAGGGTAATTTACAAAGTCTGTAGGGTAAAGTAGAACCCAGCAAGAGATTTTCCTTTTTACCATTTCCTTGACATATCTCAAATATAAAAAGCCACTAATTTCCGCATGTTGCTGTGAACATCCTCTCTCCTTACTTCATGTCATTGTGTGTGAGCAGATCTATTTGTATTTATCTATACTTAATCTTTGAATTTTGCCATATTGTGTTCCTGAGAGCTACATTTAAAAAGAGCTGATTTTTCTCAAAGAACAGTTTCTAATTGAGTTTCCTAGTCAAGGACTTTGTATCGAAGGAATCATAGAAGTGGATATGGTTTTACCAACATTACCCCAACATTTACAAAGATCTATACTCACTTAAAATAATGAAATAATGTCCCAAGTCAGTAGAATTTTGCAGCAGAAAAGGCAAACCTCAAATCTGCTCTTTTTTTTTTTTAAAGGTTTTATTTATTTATTTGACAGAGAGATCACAGTAGGCAGAGAGGCAGGCAGAGAGAGGCGGGTGAGAAGCAGGCTCCCTGCTGAGCAGAGAGCTTGATGCGGGGTTTGATCCCAGGACCTTGAGATCAGGACCTGAGCCTGAAGGCAGAGGCTTAACCCACTGAGCCACCCAGGTGCCCCCTCAAATCTCTTAAATGAGGAAATTGAGGCCAAGGCAACTCTGTTACATTACTAATTGATCATAAATAGATAGCCTTCTATTACTGAATACTACATCTGCAACTAATGATGTACTATATGTTGGCTAATTGAATTTAAATTAAAAAAAAAGATAAGCTCTGGGGCGCCTGGGTGGCTCAGTGGTTAAAGCCTCTGCCTTCAGCTCAGGTCATGATCTCAGGCTCCTGGGATCGAGTCCCGCATCGGGCTCTCTGCTCAGCAGGGAGCCTGCCTCCTCCTCCTCCTCCTCTCTCTCTCTGCCTGCCTCTCTGCCTACTCGTGATCTGTCAAATTAAAAAAAAAAAAAAAAAGATAAGCTTCTTTAAAGAATGTAAATAGCCACGATTCTTTTAACCTTATTCGAATTTGACAGTGCTTCGGAGAAATTATTTATTTGGATAATACATTTCTTTAACAGGATATGCAGGGCTTTGTGCCATGGCAGAGACTGGGGAAGAGGTGTCAGCGGAGGCCTCAGGGTTCTCAGACATGAGTGACTCAGAGTTTCTAGAGTATCTGGATCTGGAAGATACTCAAGAGTCAAGTGCTTCACTTAGCAAGCCTGGCCTTTCTTCTGAACTCCCTGGGAAGGATGGCAAGCTCGTAAGCTTACCAACATGGAAAAGAAGATTGGATGTCTCATCACCTATGGAGCGTTTCCACCTTAAATATTTGTATGTCAGTGACCTGTCTACTCAGGACTGGTGTGAACAGCAAATGGTATATGAGAAGGAGCTTCCTGGTTTCTTGGCTCCTGAGAAGGCAGCTGTTTTGGACACTGGTGCCAGCATCCACCTAGCTAGAGAACTGGAAGTTCATGATCTTGTGACTCTCCCCATCACTAATAAAGAAGATGCTTGGGCAGTTAAATTTCTGAATATATTATCAATGATTCCTGTCTTGCAGTCAGAGGGATGTGTCAGAGAGTTTCCAGTGTTTGGAGAAGTGGCGGGTGTGCTGCTCGTTGGAGTAATTGATGATCTGCGCTATACAGCCAAGGGGGAACTGGAACTGGCTGAACTGAAGACACGCAGGCGCCCTATGCTCCCTCTGGAAGCCCAGAAAAAAAAAGACTGTTTTCAAGTCAGCCTGTACAAATATATCTTTGATGCCATGGTTCAAGGGAAAGTGACCAGCGCTAGCCTAATCCACCATATAAAATTATGTCCAGACAAGCCACTGGGACCGTCAGTGCTGAAGCACGCCCAGCAGGGAGGCTTCTCTGTGAAGTCCCTGGGCGACCTCATGGAGTTAGTCTTCTTGTCTCTAACCCTGTCTGACCTCCCAGTTATTGATATCCTGAAGATTGAATATATCCACCAAGAGACTGCCACTGTGCTGGGTACAGAGATGGTGGCCTTTGAAGAGAACGAGGTGAAAAGCAAAGTGCAGCACTATATGGCCTACTGGATGGGCCACCGAGAGCCTCAAGGGGTTGATGTGGAGGAGGCTTGGAAATGCCGGACATGCAGCTATGCAGATATCTGTGAGTGGAGGAAGGGCGGTGGGATGCCCAGCTCCATTCTAGAGCCCCAGGCCAAAAAAGTGAAATGAACAGAAGGGTATACCTTCTTCGGGAACTTTAATCCTTCCTGCTCCTAATGTACTCAGCAGAATGAAAGAGGACCAGTCTTTGAGCTTGGCTTTCATGGAGTATGTTCTTACTTTGGTTCTTTCCATATTTCCTCAAAATTCTAACCACTCAAATCATTCAGGGGTGAGTGGGAGGAATCTGGGATTATATGCTCTCTGGAACTGTGCTGCGAATCGCCAAGAAGACACTTGCTCAGTGTGGCTGGAGCAAAAGGTATCTTTCAGCAATCATTGCTTTCTTAAGAAGATTCTAAAGTTTCTATTAAGTCTCTTCTCCCTTTTTTCTAGGTCAAGGTTTTCTACATTTTATATAATAAAATAAAATGAAATGCTGTCCAGGTCAGTTGAACTGACTTTTTTTTTTTTAAATAATCTGAATCATTCAGAGATGACCACTATAAATAGTTGTGCGTGTGTAATTCAGGCCTTTAAGTGCATAACATAAACATATCTCTGAAGCAGAATTAGTGGGATGAACACACCAAGAATTTAAAATAAGCATGATAAATATGCTGAAAGAAATAAGGGACAATGAAGCAGGAGAGGAGATCATTAAAAAATGAAAGCATTAGATATAAAAAATAAAATATATGAAGTAACATGTAACATTCACACCTAACTATACCACTCCTAGGGGTAGGCCAAGAGAAGCTCTCACACATTTGAGGAAGAGTATACTTTCTAGTACTTTCACAATAGCAAAGCCTAAACCTAGAAAGTATCCAGGTGCCCATCATCAGAAGAGTGTGGATAATGTATAACAGTCAAAAGAAATGAGCCACAATGATGTGCAACATGGGTGACTCTTAGCACGATATTAAGTGAAAAGACAAGTCCCCACAGCTTACATACAGTATGGTGCCCTTTTTATAAAGGGAGAACCAAAAAATTAAATACATTTTAAGGAAAATGTGAAATAGTGGAGAGGAATCTCCATGTATTTAAGAAGGCAGTGGAGCCCTTAATTGCAAACATCACCAAAGAAGCCAGAGGAAAGAATGATATGGATATCATCTGGAAGGAAAAGCTTGTTTATGCAAACTCTGCTGGAGAATTTGCATAAGTAGATGGAAGGGGGAGAAGAGTCAGCAGGGGTGGGGTTTCCATATGAACCAGCGGAACGGTGAATATTGTAAATGTGACTCCATGTTCTACATGAACTGGTAAAACCTGGACATTTTTTGGAGTTATGGTAGATTACCTCTGGAGGTGTTCTGAGCTACACATAAAATTTTCTTATGGACAATGGGAATCTTACGATAATAACTCTTTTCTCATTTACTGAGTGAGTGTTATGTGCCAGGCATTGTGCTAAGCACTTTTATGATTAAATCTATATATCCATTATTATCCCTGATGAGGGAATTGAGGCTTAGGAGGCTTCTAAAACTTGTCTGAGATCCTACAATTTGACAATGGGAGACTCCAGGCCAGATATGTCTGATTGCAGTGCTTATTAAGCTCAACCATTATGCTATTACGTATTTCTTGCTGTTGTTAAGCGTCCTACACTGTATCTTATTCTAGGCCCTAGGAAGTTTGGAATCAAACTGGGGTCATAGTTAGTAAACTGGACTTTATGGGATAAACAGTATTAAGCTAACAGTCTTCAAGAAAACAGCTTGCTCAGAGTTCTGTTGGCATCATTTTAGTTATACTAGAAGTTTTAAAAAGAGGAAAAGGAAAAATCAGTTGGTTTCAGACAATGACATTGTCAGAATTCAATAGTTCTGTAATTCAGTAATACCATGAGCTCTCAAATCCTTACATTAACATCTTCTTGTCATTGTTTTATGGTTTCTCACAAGTTGAGACATCTGTAGGGATCACCCCAGGATCACTGATGCTGTTTTCTACAGCAAATGCTTCCCTGGTTTGCAGCCTCCACTTGGTTAATAATGTCATCTCTACCTTGGAAATTCTGCTCAAAGTTATCTGAACTCTAAATTATGGACCTCTTGGATATTTGTTCCATGAGCGGGTAAATGAAAAGAGACATAACAAAGCTGTTTCTTGATTATTTAAAAATTTGCTTCCTGGGCCAGAGAATAGGTTGAATATTTTAATTAGGACTAGTTCCAACTGTTTATAGTAGAAATTGCCAAAACAATTTTTGTTTTGTTTAACCAAACGAAACAGAAATTTATTTCTCTTATGACAAAAACCCTCAATACAGTTAGTCTAGGTCTGATGTTGTACTCCATGGTGTCAGGAACCTAAGTTCTTCTCTCTTGTTTCTCTAACTTCAACAGGTATCTTCCTACTTAATAGTAGGAATAAAATTTTAAAAATTACTTATTTTAGAGTGAGAGTGAGTGGGGGAGGGGCAGAGAGAGAGATAGAGAAGAAGGCTCTCCATTGAGTAGGGAGCCAGGTATAGGGATTGATCCCAGGACCCTGGGATCATGACCTGAGCCGAAGGCGGACAATCAGCTGTTGGAGCTGTCCAGGTGCCCCAACTTTACTATTGTTTTAAATTGCACTATTCAATAAGCTAGGAAGCTGAGTATCTGTTACTTATTGGTAATTTGTATTTCCTCTAAGAATTGACTGCTTATATTCGTTGCCCATTTTTAATGAGGATTTTGATCTTCTAAAATAATTCTGAAAAGCCAGCATATTGTTTAATTTCCTCTATGGTGGATTTTTCTGAATAAATAATACGTGCTCATTATAAAATACATTAAAATGAAAGGAAGAAAGTACTTCCACCAATATTTTTTCAACTATTGCTTTATTTATTGCTTCTCTGGGTTATTGCTTCTCTAGTTTCTCTTTTTGGAAACTGTTACATGTATTTCTATTATATACACTTCCTGATTCCCCTAATTTTTCTCATTATTTTATTCTCTGTCATTTTCTTTCAATACTGAGATAATTTTTGTGCTTTTCTTCGACTGCTCAACTTAGAAAGATTTCTTTGCTTAGTATTCCAGTATTTTCTTCTGGAGTGCCTGTTACGTGTAAAATTTCCTTGACTTGCCTTCTACATCTGTTATCTTCTCTCTCATATTTCACTCTTTTTGTTTTCTATCTTTACAATCTAAGACTTCTTTGACCTGGTAATCTAGTTAACTGAGATCCAAGTATTTTCCCACTCTTCTCTTCTGCTATTCAAGTAGCCATTGAAGCATTTTGTCCAGTGATTTTATTTTTCATTCCCACCCCCAATTTTGCTGTTCTCTGATTTCCCCCTCTTTCCACACAGGGAATATGTATTAGTGTAGCAAGTGTGGTAAATGCTTCAGTGAGTATTGAGCTCATTAGAAAGGTCACACAGAAACCTTAAAGTCTGATTAACATGTTGGGGATTCAAATAGGGCATAGATCTTTGCTATAATGAGAGAATTCACACAGCGAAGAAACTAGAAATATGATACATATGGTAAATGCTTCAGTTGTAACATAATTCTTCATGTTCTCCTGAGAAGAAAAAAAATTTAAAGGTGAGGGATGCAGAAAAGATTCAGTGCTAACTCAAATTTTCATATTCATCAGAGAATCCATATGGTTAGAAACCTGTGACAAGGGGCGCCTGGGTGGCTCAGTGGGTTAAGCCGCTGCCTTCGGCTCAGGTCATGATCTCAGGGTCCTGGGATCGGGTCCCGCATCGGGCTCTCTGCTCAGCAGGGAGCCTGCTTCCCTCTCTCTCTCTGCCTGCCTCTCTGTCTACTTGTGATCTCTGTCTGTCAGATAAATAGATAGAATCTTTAAAAAAAAAAAAAAGAAAGAAAAGAAACCTGTGACAAGAACCTCAGGTAGAATATAGGTTTTCAAGTTCTTCAGAGATTACATAGGGGAAAGGCCCTCCCAATGTGTGAATAGAGGTAAAGGTTTTAGTGATAACTCGAAACTTCACATCCATCAGAGTGCAGGCAAGAGAGGAACCCAATAAGTATGTTGTGCATGGTAAGAGCTTCAGCCAAAATGCAAATCTTCATATACATCAGAATCCACACTGGAGAAAAACCTTACACATGTGGTAATTGTTGTTCTAAAAGGGGAATTCATATTGATACAGGCATACCTCAAGAAACAAACAAAAAAATCTGAAACAAATAACTTTACACCTAAAGGAACTAGAAAAAGAAGAATAAGCAAAACCCAAATTTAGAAGAATAAAGGACCTAAGGGCAGAAATAAATGAAATAGAGATTAAAAAATAGCAAAGATCACTGAAATGAAAAGCTGGTTCTTTTTATATTTATATATATTTATATTTATATATTTATATAAATATTTATAAATATTTATAATAGTTATAAAATATTATAAACATAATCGATAAACCTCTATGCAGACTCATCAAGAAAAAAAAAGAGAGAGAGCCAAAACAAAACCAGAAATGAAAAAGAAGTTGTAACTGACAGTACAGAAATACAAAGGATCATAAAGGACTTACCAAGAACAATTATTGCCAACAAATTGGAAAACCTAGAAGAAATGGATAAATTCCTAGGATCATACAACTTTCCAAAACTGATTCATGGAGAAATAGAAAATCTGAATAGACAAATACAAGTGATGAAATTGAATCACTATTTTTACCGCCCACCAAAAAAACCCCAAAATTCTAGGACCAGATAGCTTCATAGGTGAAATCTACCAAACATTTAAAGAGAAGTTAGTACTTCTCCTTTTCAGATTATTCCAAAAAATTAAAGAGGAAGGAACATTTCCAAACTCACGAGGCCCACAAGTTCATGAATACATGCTCAACATCACTAATCATCAGAGAAATGCAAATCAAAACCACAATGAGATCACCTCACACCTGTGGATTAGATATTATTAAAAAAATAAATAACAAGTGTTGGCAAGAATGCAGAGAAAATGGAACCTTTATACACCATTGGTGGGAACGTAAAGTGGTGCAGCTACAATGGAAAACAGTATGGAGATTCGGCAAAAATTAAGAATAGAACTACTATGTGATCCAGCAATACTACATCTAGGTACTTATCTGAAACAAAAACCAAAAACCAAAACACAAACACCAATTTGAAGAGACATATGCACCCCAAGATTCACTGCAGCATTGTTTACAATAGCCAAGATATGGAAGCAACCTAAGTGCCCAATAGGTGAATGGATAAAGAAAATGTAGTGTGTGCATGTGTACACACACACACACACACATTCTCACACACAAGAATATAGAATATTTGTCATTAAAAAGAATGAAATCTTGCCATTTGTGACAACATGAATGGACCTAGACAGTATTATGCTAAGTTAAATCAGTCAGAGAAAGACAAATACCATATGATTTCACTTAAATGTGGAATCTGAAAAACAAAACAAAGGAGCAATCAGAACAGAAACAGATTCATAGTTATGGGAAACAAACAACACACATTCCATGACATATTTATGGAGATAAAACTATAGACGTGCTTGGTCCTCTCCCCCAACTTCAGATGCCAATCACAAGTCCAAGTTGTCACCTGTGCTTTTGACCTACTGGCTATAGATTGGAGGTTCCAACAACCCCTCCTTGGGTTTGACCAATTTGCTAGGCAGCTTATAGAACTTGGAGAAACAACTTTATTTTCTAGGTTACCAGTTTATTAGAAAAGGATATATAACTCAGGAACATCTAGATGGAAGAGATGCATAAGGCAAAGTATGGGAAAGGGGTAAAGAGCTTCCATGCCCTTTCTGGGTCATCACTCTCCCTGTACCTCCATGTGTTCACCAACCCAGAAAGTCTCTGAATTCCATCCTTTGAGTTCTTATGGAGACTTCATTACATAGGCATGAATGATTAAATTAATGGTCACTGGCAATTGATTCAACCACCAGCCTCTCTCCCCTCCTCAGAAGTACAGGAGTTGGGACAGAAAGTTCCAACCCTCTAACCATATGGATGGTTCTTCTGGTAGCCAGCTCCCATCCTTAGGTACAGTCCAAAAGCACTTCATTAATATAACAAAGAACACCATTATCATTTAGGAAATTCCAAGAGTTTTAGGAACTCTGCCAGAAATGGGGTTGAGGATTAAATATATATTTCTTATTATAGGTCACAATATCGCAAAAAAAAAATTGTGCTTTCATAGAACATACAATGAGACAAAGAGAAAGGAAAAGGAATCAAGGATGCTAAAATACAAAAAGTGTATTAGAATCAATGTAATACAGTATTCCTTTTCTCTCCTCAAACCTCCAATACATTTTCCCTATCTTCTTTTTCTACTCATCTTTAAAAAACCAAACTTCTTAAAAGTAGTCTATATTTGCTTTCTACACCTCCTCTCTTCCCATTCTTTCATCCCACTCTTATCAAATTCCTATTAAATTTAATCAAACTTCTACCACTACACCAAAATGGCATTTTTTCACAGCTTCCACAATGCTAAATCCAATGATCAATTCTTAGTTATCATCCTACTTCTCATTAGCATTTATACAGTGGATCATTCTCCACGTCTTGAAACATTTTCTTCTCTTGATTTTGCACATCCAAACTCTACTGCATTTAAGTCTGTCTCACTCATTATCTCTTAGTCTTCTTTCTTGGGTCCTCTTCATCTCCTTTGCTGGGACCTAAGCTGGCGCATTGCTAGAAGAAACTGAATTAAGGGTAGATTATTATCTTACACCGCTGATTTAGATTTTCCAGTTTTTAAAAATTCTGATGTCTTTATATTTTTTAACGAAAATGATATATACACCTCTTTTTTACAAACGGGCGCAGCTCTCAGGGATGCCACAGAGATACCAACCCAGGAATCTCCCCCAAAGAGGCAGAGGCTTCCGATGCCTTCCGGAAACGAGCTCCACAGGCCTTATGGGAAATGTAGTCCCCTATGAACAGCCTGCATCGCGGAGGGACCTGGGAACCTGGGCGTCAGTTACTTCCGCACACGCGCAGTGGGTCGCCAGCCGGTATTCCGTATCTTCCAACCTGCGCCGAATGAAGTGAGAGTGCGGCGTTCGCCCAGAGTCTCTAGGAGAGCTCTGTAACCTGATCTCTTACAAGCAAAGCTGGGAGCGTGGCGGTGAAAGGCTGGCAGGTATGACTCTGTGGAGCCTGGGGACGTAACGGACGGGCAGGACCAGTTTATTGGCTTACCCAACAGAAGATAATACTTCACAACCCCTACGTGCGGTGATTTGGTTTTTGGGTGTGTGAGTCCTGTCCGATTCTGGAGTAGTTCAGAGAGAGCAAGAGAAGGGTCTGACTACCACTCAGTGGGTTCCCAGATTCCGGGTGGGGCTGGGGCAGGCTCGGTTTGCTTTGCTGCTCTTGTAGGAGATCACTGTGTAGGAGTCTGTGCATCAGCTGTACCTTTCCTGGTTACAAGAACACCATTGGCCCTACCAGAGCCTGCAAAAGGTAATATTAAACCATTCAAAGGGATCTAGGAAGAAAACGTTTCTAGAGAAACTGCTGTGTTCTCTTTTTAGTGTATTTTCACAACAATAATCTGAAGTAAGTATTCTCTCCATTTTGCATGTGAATTAACTGAAGCTGAGAGAGGGGTTATGTTATTTGCTTTAGACTGACAGCTTAGAAAGTGGAAGAGCTGAGATTCAAACCCAGATGAGTTTTCACCAAATTTAATTCCTTCTCTTTCTCCTCCTCCTCTTCCTCCTCTTCTTCTGAGTATAGTTGACACACAGTGTTACATTAGTTTCAGATGTACAGCTTAGTGATTTGACAAGTTTATGCATTATGCCGATTTCACAAGTGTGGTTACCATTTGTACCCCTTATATGACAATTACAGTATCATTGACTGTATTCCTTATGCTGTGCTCCAAATTTTATTCTTTTTTTTTTTGCAAGATAGCATCCTGTGAAAAAAAAAACAAAGAGTTGAATTTATTCTCCTTTTGAAATATTAAAGCAGTGACTGCTGAGTAAATCTCGATTTGTAGTCTTTTTTTTTTTTTTTTTTTTTTTTAAGGGTCTCTGTTGAAACTGCACATCTTCCAGGGAAGGCTGTAAATAAAGCTGTGAGTCCCCTTTGCATATTTTAGCCTTTCTATGGCCCCATCTTTGCTGGTTGGAATTTTAAAAAACCGATACTGGGCTCATAGGAGATGGTGAATTTCCAGAGAGATCGAGAGAGAGAGAGAGAGAGGGAGAGAGAAGCTAATTTAGACTTTAAACTGAAGGGTGCTCCAGCTTAAAAAAAAAAAAATTTCCTGGGTCCAACCTTCTCAAGAAAACCCAACCCAGTTTGAGTTCTCTTATCCCAGCTTCAGAGCAGAGATTCCAGAGAGTTTTAGAGACCAGGCTTTTAGTTAGTCTTTTAATTCATTTAAATTTTTTTGGGATAAATTTTGGGAGAAAAAAAATGTCACTGATTCAAAGATTAACAACTTGCTGTTAGATCAGCAGGACAGAAATATACAACATACTTGTCTAACCTTCATATATTCATAACAGAACCACCAGTAGAGTTTGGTGCTTATAAAATATGGATTTTTTTGACATCTTCTAGAATCATTCTCCCACTGGGTGACATTTACTGAAGCTGGAATGTGAGTCCTTCTGTTCTGATAGTGCTTCTTTTCTTTTCTACATTGCTTCTTGGTTTTTTATACCTTTCTATTCTTTTTTTCCCATTTTTACATTCATAGATCTCTGTGTAAGAGCTGCAGAAAATGATCAACTTCCAGGTAAGGTACCCATTTATTCAGTCACTTAAATCTCTCAAAAATCTATATAAAAAGGAAATGTATAGACAGGGAAAATGTGGATTGACTAGATCAAGTCCAAAAAAAATTTAGAAAATTGGTAGGCTGATATCCAGGTCACAGGGTTTGCACATAGTTGGAATAAATTTGAGCTGCATATATGTACCCATTCCTTATAGCAATCATAGAAAATGGCTAGCCAGCCAGTTAAAGTATTGGTATTATCTGTGAGGATGAAGCAAAATAATTCCTCAGATAAGTAAAGATATTCCTGATTCAATTCTCTGAAAAAAAATACTGTAATGGATTTTCATAGAGATAATGTTAGAAATAACATTCACAGCAACAACCCTGTGATAAATATAACATCATATTTCCTATGACTTTCTTAGAGTGTTTCCCATAGTAAGTAGAGAACATAGTGCCAGTAAGCAGCACTATATCGAACTCAATTTGTAAGTTCAGGTATGTAGCCTTTCTAATATTCTTCTGTAACCATAAGTAAACCTTGTACCCTTTTCCAGAGTCTCCTGGTACTCCTGAGCATTTTCTCTTCCATGTGAATTTTAGAATCAACTTGTCAGACTCTACAAAGAAGTATATAAGGTGTTTTAATTGTGATTGCAGTATACTTTTACACTGATTTGTGTAGAATTCCTAACTTCAATAATGTATTCTGTGTTCAGTTTTTCTTATTCTTCTTTACATTTTTTTAAAGATTTTATTTATTTGACAGGCAGAGATCACAAGTAGGCAGAGAGGCAGGCAGAGAGAGAGAGAGGAGGAAGCAAGCCCCTGCGGAGCAGAGAGCCGGATACGGGGCTCGATCCCAGGACCCTGAGATCATGACCTGAGCTGAAGGCAGAGGCTTAACCCACTGAGCCATCCAGGCGCCCCCGCTTCTTTACATTTTTATAGGTTTATTATTATAATTCTTGTACATTTCTTGTAATGTTTATTCTTACATATGGTTTAGGTTGCTCTTGAGAATGGGATGGATCTTTTTTCATTATATTTTCTAATTGGCTATTTTGGTGTTTGGGAAATATGCATTTATCTATTTGACTTTATGTCAACTTACAGGACTCTTATTAAGTGCAAGAATTTTTTAGGTGGTTTTTAGATTTTCTAGGTAGACAGTCATTTACTCTTCAAAGGAGTTTTATGCCTTACTGGTCAATATGTATATCTTCAATTTTTTTTCTTGTCTTATTGCAATGGACAGGATTGCTAGGAACTATAATTTTCAATGTAATTAATAGCCAGTATCTTTTTTGTTCCAATTTTAATGGAATGGTTCCAGTGTTTCATTGTTTCCTCTTGTATTTTAGTAGATAGTGGGGGCTTTTTTGGTTGTTTTTAATCAAGTTAAAGACTTTTAGCTTGTTAAAATTGTTTTCACAAGTTGGAAACTTTTTCCCTTATGTGTTTTTAAAAATACCTGTTGATAAAATAATATATTTTGTCATCTTTAGTACCGCAATTTAGAGAATTTCTAATACACCTTTTAATACCAAACTGTCTATGCATTTGTAGGACAAACCCTAGCTAGTCTCCTAACTTTTTAAAGGGCCAGATAGTAAATATTTTAGTCTTGGAAACCATACAGACTCTGTGCAACTACTCAACTCTGCAGCTGAAGTAAATGAATGGGTATAAATGTTCCAATAACATTGTATTTACAAAACAGCAGGCCAATGTATGGGTTGTAGTTTGCTGACCCCTGTTCTATATGGTCTTAACTATCTTTTTGTAATATGTATGTAGCTACATGCTTTTTAAATTTCAGCTTAAGTTAGTTAACCATGATTTTGGCCTTATGGTTGAGAGGATATATTTTATCATGTAAAAGAGTCCTTATTTTCTATTTAATTATGGTCATGTGAGTCTGACATGTTAACCTTCTAACCTATATTTTTACTTTGTTGTGTCTAATATATTGTAAGATCTCTGAGACCAGTAATACCTTTAGTCTTTAGTCTTTTTTGTATCACTACTACAGTGTCTGGTAGGTCCTTATTAAACATTTTATGAGTGAGTGAATGAAGGACATCTTAGCAGTATTTTAAATAATTTTATTGAGACATAATTCAGGTATTACAGATTGACCCATTTAAAATATATACAACTCAGTGGTCTTCAGTCTTTTCACTGAAACCGTCTCCATTATCTAACTTTAGAATATTTTCATTACCTCAAAAGAAACCCCATATTAGCAGTCATTCCCCATTCCTCTCATCTCCCAGCCCTAATTTGTTTTCTGTTTCTATGGATTTGCCTTTTCTGAACATTTAATGTAGCTAAGACAATACAGTGTGTGATTTTCTTTGACTAGCTTCTTTCACCTTTTTCAAGGTCATCAATGTTACATGTATGCCAAAAATTATTGCATTATATGGATATAACTCATTTTGTTTATCCATCTATTCATCAGCTAATAGATACTTATATTGTTTTCGCTCTTGGATGAATACTTCTGTGAAGATTTGTGTATAGGTTTTTATGTGGGCATATATTTTCGGTTTTCTTGGGTATATACATAGGAGGAATTGCTGGGTCATATGGTACATTTCAAGGAACTGTAAAACTGTTTTCCATAGTTGTTGCATCATTTTACAACCCTAGTAGCAATATATGAGAGTTCCAGTTTTTCCACATCCTTGTCACTTCTTGTCATTGTCTATCTTTGATTTTAACCATCCTAGTGGGTGCAAAGTGATATCTCATTTAGTTCTTATTTGTATTTACTAATGCTGTTGATCATCTTTTCATGGCTTATGGACCATGTGTGTCTTTGGAGAAAGCCTCTCCAAATCCTTTGTCCATTTTTAAGTTGGGTTGTCTTTTTATTGTTGTGTTTTAAGAGTTCTTTTTATATTCTAGATACAAGTTTCTTATCAAGATATATGATTTGCACATATTTTATCCCATTCTGTGGGTTGTCTTTCATTTTCTTTTTTTTTTTTTTAAGATTTTATTTATTTATTTGACAGACATAGCGAGAGAAGGAACGCAAGCAGGGGGAGTGGGAGAGGGAGAAGCAAGCTTCCTGCCAAGCAGGGAGCCCAAAGCGGGACTTGATCCCAGGACCCCAGGACCATGACCTGAACTGAAGGCAGACACTTAATGACTGAACCACCCAAGCACCCCATCTTTCATTTTCTTTTTTTTTTTTTTTAAAGATTTTATTTATTTGTCAGGGACAGAGGGAGAGAGAGCGAGCGAGCACAGGCAGACAGAGAGGCAGGCAGAGGCAGAGGGAGAAGCAGGCTCCCTGCCGAGCAAGGAGCCCGATGCGGGACTCGATCCCAGGACCCTGGGATCATGACCTGAGCCGAAGGCAGCCGCTTAACCAACTGAGCCACCCAGGCGTCCCTCCATCTTTCATTTTCTTGATGGTGTCCTTTGAAGCACAGAATTTAAATTTTGATGATTTCCATTTTATCTATTTTTTTCCTGTGGTCACTTATACTTCCTGTCATATCTAAGAAACCACTGCCTAATCCAAGGTCAGAAAGATTTACTTCTATGTATTCTAAGAATTTTATAGTTTTAGCTCTTGCATTTAGGTCTCTGATCCATTTTTAGTTCATTTTTCCATATGATATAAGGTGTTTGTGTGTGTGTGAAGGGAGTCCAGCTCATTTTTTTCCATGTGGATGTTTAGCTGTCACACCACCATTTGTTAAAAAGACTATTCTTTACCTGATTGAACTGTCCTGACACTAGTGAATATTTTTAATATGATTTTTGTTTCTATCACAAAATATAATTCTGAGTCAAGCATACCGTAGTTATATTTTCTGAAAACTCAACAATGAATATGATACGATCATAAAGAGGCTGCCATGATTCTCTTGCAAGTCCCCAAATGATGCACACTTTAGTTTGAAGATGAATGTGCTGTTACAGGGATCAGTGACATTCCAGGATGTGGCTGTGGACTTCACCCCAGAGGAGTGGCAGCTGCTTGACTGTGATCAGAGAACCTTGTATTGGGATGTGATGTTGGAGAACTTTAGAAACCTCATCTCAGTGGGTAAGGACAGGGGGTGGTGACTCCTCAGTGGAACTAAGAATATACTCCTAGTGCCCTTCCTCTAGGACTTGTGGAAGCTGTGGACGTTCTGAAGCATTCCTAAGTTTGGCCCTGAACGTTAGCGGTCACAGATTCTTCATCCCCTTTGAGATGACGCATAAACAGATAGAGTGTTTATGCTTCTGGCTCCCAGGTGGAGGAGAAGGGTCTTTTCTGTTCTAAAGCCTGTCTGTCATCCTTTCCAGGCCCTGAGACTCAAGGAGGCAGCCTGAATTGTGAGGTAGTGATTTGTCTCTAGCACTTTGTCTCCAGTTCTGTGTTGTTTCCCATGAACAGGGGGCCCCGGTACCAAAACAAAAGGCATCTTCAAGGCAGAGCAAGGACAAGAGCCATGGCTGGGGGAGGGAGAGAACCCACGCTGGCGCTGTCCAGGTGAGTGAAAGAAAACCGGGCAGATGGGAGTCTTTGCAATTGAGATTCCAGTTGGTCAGTGAGGGACAGGTAGCTTGGAAGCAGCTCTTTGAGGAAGGCCTTCTTAAAAGCCACACAGCTTTGGGTCCCCTTGATATAACATCGTCAGATCCCCAGATGACACCTTGACTCCCTGTGCTCACAGAGCTGCTCCTTCTCTTTGCTCAGCTTTTGTCTGGAGGGAGGTCCCTCTCCTCTCTGCCCTGTCTCCCTGCACTGCCTGTTCCATGGAGGCCCTTGCTTTGTGCTCTTAATTCCTAAAATCTTCATTCTTTTATCGTCAACATGGGCACACATCTTTTCCATATATCTAGTTCTTACAAGGTAGTCAGATCATGTGGATTTAAAGTGTTACTCCACCAGTCACTGTCTAACCTAATTATTTTGTAGCACAACTTTATTTATAAAACAGATATAATATTAATCCTCACTTCAAGTTTCTTTTAAAGATCATATGAGTTAATCCACATAAAATCTTTCAAATAGTTGACATAGAGTATGTGTTCAGTATATGTTGGTTGTTTTTATTTCAAAACTTTTAGTAACATTATGCTCTTTCTAATTATTTCCCCTTTTCAAAAAAACCTCTTCCTTTTCTTGTAGCGTATACCCACCTGTGCATCCCACCTTGCTCATCTGCAGTCTCACTGCTAACTGGCAGTATTAACCTTGTAGTGCATTTCTCTGCTTCACCTGATAATACTGATATCGTTTGGAAATTCCCCAGCTTCCTTTGAGTTGGTTCCTCACTAATCTGTCCTCACCCTCACTTACTGCTTCTCCACCATTGCTGCTTGCCTTCTTGTCCACCTTCAGAACTTTTCTCATGGCAACTCCTTCAGAAACCGCATCCCTCTGAAGAACTAATGTGATTTTCTTTGTCCTATCTGTGGCATCTGTGTGTCTCCCAACTCCCCATTCCCATTTTCCCAACTCCCCACTTTCCCAACTCCTTGTTCCCATTTTCCCAACTCTCCATTCCAATTTTCCCAACTCCCCGTTCTCCAGCTCCCCGTTTTCCCCACCTGGCCTCCATCTCTGTTTTCTCATAGTAACCACTATGTCGTATTCTTTAGCCTTCACCTTTCTGTTTACATTGTAATAAAGGATAATGGCTGGCCTGCTGCTTGGCCATCTCCACATCACTGTAGTAAGCAACTTAGCTTTTTTCTCTCAAGAGTGTCTCCTTAAATACTATTATGACTTATTACCTGTGATTTCAATTATTAGTTCATTCAAGGCTGATTTAAAATATAATTTTCTTTTTCCACAGAGCCCATAAAAGACTTTAAATGATTGAGACACAAATTAAGTGTGTTTTTAGATCCCCTAAGACCTCAAATTTGAATGACATAGCAAATAACCTAATGAACCAAGTGAATTTGAACTCCCAATACTGTGTCTAGGCTGTTCATGATTCTATATTGCCAATTTCATCCTATTTTCTGGTTTATCTTAGATGTTCCTGCAAGATGTATCCAAATCATTACATTTTCCTTGTCACTCTCCTGACAGATAAACACAGATTATTTCTTCATAACTTTTACTGTGATATTTAAAAGGCTTTTAAGGCCCTCTTTAATGTGATCCCATTTTATTTGCCCAGAATGGTCCATCTTTTCCCTATGCCGTGACAGTTGGGCTCTTTAGTGAACTCTGTACATGATTATCTTCTGTGCTTCAGTTCTTTGGAAGCTGATGTGCTCTGCCTAAGCCCAGCATGCCAGTAAGTCTGAATTCATTTCTTCTCCTCTTTCATGGTAACTCCTGCCTAGTTGATCTCTACCTTCTTGGAACCTCCATCCTAGCTATCCTATGACTCTACCGTGAAAACTTGACATATATTCTTTTAGTTTAGTTTTGTTTTTTTTTTAACCTTATGGCTTATAAAGCATATTTTCTTATGATAATGCCCTGAAGAAAAAGTCCTGTACCATTTTTTGTTTTTACACCATTGCTGAGCACACAATGGATATTTAATGAACATTTTGTTAATTCACTGTTGTAAAGTCAGGCATTGTGGGCGGTGTTTCTTATTCTTTCAGTGAGCCTTTTTTATGTTTCCTGAGAAAGATTCAAAGAAAGCAAAAAACAAAACAAAAAACAACCCATTGCCATTTTTTTGGGTGTTTAAAAGGCAAAACAACCATATAAAACATTTTAAAGTTTTAGGAGTGTGGAATATTTGTTCAGTGCACAGTAACATTGCTGTTCTAGTTAATTGTCAGAATGAATGGTTTTGGGGAGCAGTGGTGACTATCTTGGAAATACAGAGAAAATGGAGCTTAAAGTTAAAAGTATACGAAGATTAGAGGAGTCTTTTTTTGAGATCATGGAACAATGGTTCTTCCCTAAAGAATATCTAAGGACTGGGGCCCCTGGGTGGCTCAGTGGGTTAAATCCTCTGCCTTCGGCTCAGGTCATGATCGCAGGGTCCTGGGATCGAGCCCCATGTCCGGCTCTCCGCTTGGTGGGGAGTCTGCTTCCCCCTCTCTCTCTGCCTGCCTCTCTGCCTACTTGTGATCTCTCTCTCTGTCAAATAAATAATAAAGTCTTTAAAAAAAAAAAAAGAATATCTAAGGACTAGATAAGATGAGGGGGGATGAGGAAGGGGATCTTAAGGTGGGGAAGGGACATGAGCAAAATATTGTAGTTATTTAGAGTCTAGAATTCTTAGAACAGAAGGTATTTGTTCAGGACGAGAAGAATGCATGCTTAGATACCATGAGTGAATTCATTATAATGTATAGTTTTGTTCACCAGGCTGAGTGCCTTGAATTTTTCAGTTGGTTACTGCTAGCTGAGGTAACACGGGATACTTCTTTCCATTAGTTGAAGTAGAAAGGAAAAAAGACAGAAACTCCAATCCCTATAAAGAGATGTGTACTAATGGCTATAGCCCTGTACTTGGGGCAGCTCCACAGAGAAGAATGAGGCATGAAGGAAGAATCTGGGGTGTGGTACTAACATTCCACAAGGAGGGAAACTTAGGAGTGGGAATATAACCCCTTCTCCCGAGCTTGCTTGCTTTCTTTTTTTTTTTTTAATTAAAGCAATCTCTGCACCCAGTATGGGGCTCGAACTCACAACCTTGAGATCAAGAGCCTCATGCTCTTCTGAGCCAGCAGGTGCCCCCCTTTTAATGTAGAAATGGATTGGAGATTTTAGAGTTTTGAGGATAGGAATGAAAAAAATGTGACTTCAGGATTTTAAAAAAGTGACTTCCCAGCTTTCTGGGGATTAAATTTTTAGGTAGATTGAAAGAAAATGTAAAAACAGTACTTGTCAAATACAAATATAACAAATGGTCATATATAGGGCTTTGCCCTAAAAAAAAAGAAATGCAGCCAGAATAAAAGCAGTAGCAAACAGGCAGAATCTGTGGCTGGGCTTATAAGAACATGGGAGAATACATCCCAGCTGTGGTAGCTGCAGGCCCATCTCACCTGTGATATGGATGAAGTTAGAGGACTGGACACATAAGAATGTTCCTGGAGGCAACCGCCATTGTGCCAGGTGATTAAGAGGAAAAAGAGATGTGAATGAGGGAAATGGGGAGCCCTTCCACCAGGGTAACTTAGGACTGGAGTAGTGGGGACTCTAGACCTGCCATCTCCAGATCTAGTTTTTCCTCTGATATCTTCCCTTAGCTCCCTAGTCTCTTGTTCCTTGGGTCACCTCATCCACTGGTCGTATCTCCTCAGTGGGCTCTCTTCATGTGAGGTAACCATGCCTTGATGTCTGTACCCTGTTCAATGTAATTTGTGCCTATTTCACGGTCTTTTCATAGGTCCCAAGTTAAGCCATCTGTTCTCTTTAATGTCATTCATCTGCTCCCATTTCCTCTTCAGCAGCTTTATTCTTAAAGCTCAGGAGCAAAGCAAATAGAGGATATATTTCAGAATTAGATACTGGATTTGAAATAATGTTTCTTTCTATAACTGGTATGGAAAAAATTAACTAGACATGTTTTATTGTACTCCTTTTTAGAAGCTGATTGCCTACTTGTTGATGAATCAGAGAAGCACCAGGAAAGCAAAGACAATTTTTTGAATTCAGTTTTGTTCACATTCAATAAAATTCTGACTATGGACAGACTCCATGGTTATAACATGAGCACAAGTCTTAATCCTACAAGAAAAAAATCATATAAATGTAAATTATATGGGAAGAGTTTGCAACCTACTTTAGACTTACTTAGTTACGATAGATGTTGTACTGGAAAAAACTCATATGAATGCACTGAATGTGGGAAAGCCTTCAAAAAGAAATTTCATTTCATTAGACATGAAAAAAATCATACAAGAAAAAAACCTTTTGAATGCAGTGACTGTGGGAAAGCCTATAGCAGGAAGGCGCACCTTGCAACTCATCAGAAAATCCATAACGGAGAGAGACCCTTTGTGTGCAATGATTGTGGGAAAGCATTTATGCATAAAGCACAACTGGTGGTCCATCAGAGACTCCACACAGGAGAGAAACCTTACGAATGCCATCAGTGTGGGAAGTCGTTCACTTGGAACTCCTCCTTTACCCAGCATGTGAAATCCCATACACTTGAGAACTCATTTGAATGTAAGGAATGTGGGAAAACCTTCAGGTATAGCTCATCCCTTTATAAACATTCTCGATTTCATACAGGAGAGAAACCCTACCAATGTATTGTATGTGGCAAAGCCTTTGGTAACACATCTGTGCTTGTTACACATCAAAGAATTCATACAGGAGAGAAACCATATGGGTGCATCGAATGTGGCAAAGCCTTCATCAAGAAGTCACATCTGCTTAGACATCAGATAACTCATACAGGAGAGAAGCCCTATGAATGTAACAGATGTGGGAAAGCCTTTTCCCAGAAGTCAAATCTTATCGTACATCAGAAAATTCATACATAATATTCATGTTGAATACGACAAAGCCTTAAATATTAGATAAATCTTATTAAAACAGAATTCATGGGGAGAAATCCACCAATTTGAATGGATTTGGAAGAGTAGATTCCCACAAAAAAGAATCAGTGCCATCATGTTTTAGAAGTGATAATAAAATTTTTACAGAATAAGGTCACAGAAAACATTTATAAATAACAGCGCTTAGAAAGTAAGCATAAATTAGTCAAGGAATCAGTGAAAATTATACTTATTTCTGATTTTTATTTTTATAATATTATAGAATTACACAAGTGTGAGTATAAAATGTTTATTACATTAAATTATATTAAGAGTGAGGTACCTATCATTTTTTCTTCCAGTCCTAACATGCAAGTGAAAAAAATGTGGTTTAATATGAAATACGCATTTCAGTAATACTTTTATCCATTTGCTGGCACTTTTAATGGGCAAGGCAGTGTTATTGATCTGTCTCTTTTTTAGTTATAAAACTTGTTACAGAGATGTTTTCCTATGTATGTAAACAGCAAAACAACCAATTTAAGACACGATTTGTGAGGGAAAAGCAGTTGTATTCTGTATTACAATAAGTATTCAGTTGGGGAGAATGAGTATTTAAGTTTGTAAATAAAACATTTGCACTTCAAGTATTCCTGTTCTTTTTCATTGGTGCATCTACATAAGATGTGACTGTGTCCACAGGGGCACCATCTCTATTGAATTTTAATAAGTAGGGTGTCCTGATACTTTGCAGCTTTTGGGGAGTGAGTTTTTGGGTCTATATTTGTTTTCTTGTAAGAAATTGATATAGATTTAGCTCTTAGGGGTGCCTGGAATTGTGCCTGTGACAGCATAGGGAGCATTAGTCAAGTTGAAAAGAGCAAGTTTCTCTGCTTAGGGACTTCTTTCTGGAATGTGACATTATGTAAGTTACACATATTCCCTTAAAAGGGTGAGTTTTTATTGCTAGAGTTTTTATTTAGGCTAGAGTTTTTATTGCTGTCCACAGTGTTCCTTGATAATGTCAAAAACCTTTATGTCTTCTTGAGCGGTGACAAAACAACCTGGACCTGAATTTGGAAATCAAGCCTTTTCAAGTTTAAGCTGATTTACAACTCTGCATTGTTTTTCTTCCATTAGCCATTTTTGAAGAACGTATTGTGTATTGACTATAAGTGAATGATAGTACTTTTTTGAACAAGCACATTAGAATTTAAGGAACTGAATTAAATATTGTCTACTGACAAAAGTCCTTTGCTTCACCAAACTTTAGTCAGGGTCCCAAACCTTCTCCTAGGCCTTCTCTTCTGTTTTCTTATAAAATCTAGGTTTAGCAAGAATCTCACTAAGTCAGTTTAACCAGAATTTCCTACCCTCGATACCTGATCTGGTTCTTCACCAGATCTGGTTCTTCACCTCTACAGTCCATCAGGTGAGGTCTGATCACCCTGGCCTTTCTTCATCAAGACTCCTGTTAGGTCAAGGGGCTGCCTTCCGCTCAAGCCACGATCTCAGGGTCCTGCGATAGAGCCCCACGTTGGGCTCTGTGCTCAGCCGGGAGTCTGCTTCTCCCTCTCCCTCTGTTCCTTTCCCTGCTCTTGCTCACACACGCACGCACTCCCTCCTTCTCCTTCCTCACACATGCATGTTCACTCTCAAATAAATAAATACCTTTAAAAAAGAAAGGACTCCTTTTAGGTCGATTTAGCCAGAACCCTCCTTACCTCTGGTGTTTTCTCTTAGTAATTTTCCATCAATTGACCATTCCTCCCCTCCCCACTCCTTTGCTATAAATTCCCACTTGCCATGCTGTATTCACAGTTGAGCCCAATCTCCCTACCCGACTAAAATCCCATTACAGGGGTCCATATACCTATCGTGATGGTCCCGAATAAAGTCCACCTTGCCATCTTTAACAAGTGTCCCTGAATATCTTCTTCAACACTCCCCAAGTATTTCAGGAGGCTACATGGTCGTTTCACTCTTGCAGTTCCAAAAATTTCTGGAACCTCATTCTTTCAGAATTGTCCTCAAAAATCAGTTTGACAGCCATGCAGGAAATTCTTTAGGTATTTAATCACAGGACTTGCCAGCTCAACTGTTTTCTCATTTCCTACATGAAATCCTCATTTTGTCCTACTTAGTTCTGCCATTCCATCTTATCTCCCTTTCCCAAGCCTGTGCCTTTCTCATCTGAGAAACCCCAAACTACTTAAAGCTACAGGAAGAGAGGAAGTAGGGGTTTCTTTGCCAGCATTATGTGAGGCCCCTTAAAAGAGCTGATGTGTAGGTCAAGGTGGCAAGAAGTGTGCAATGGTCTGCTCTGGAAATAAGGGAATAAAACAAAGGACTTTTGATTGTAATATATCAGGGCACATGTAATCTGGGTTTCATGAATTATTTTGTTCCCTCCTTTAAGTGGAAGTAGGAATATGAGGAGAAGATAAAATTATTTCCAGTACTGGGCAAACATAAACTCTTTCCTAGAAAGCTTTTGTTGCTGACCTCATTGTTGGGCTGTACAAGATTCTGGCAAGAAGAAAAACAAAACTATGCTTGGATCCATCTAAACATCTTGGATTCCCAGAACTCCCTAGTCTATTTGTGCTCTGTGGCTGAAACAGAGCATTTAGGTGAGAAATCCCTTGATTTCTCCCACCTCTGAGAGTTTGTCAGACCTTGATATTTTATTTTTTTCACTCTATAAAAAGATTGTTCAAAAAATGCCTTCTCTCTCCTTTATTTATACATGGATGGTGAATTGGCATTCCCCACCCCCCGCCCCGGCCATGAAACTGTTCATTTTTCTGATTATATCATATATGTTAATTTTTAACAATATAATACAAAAACTGTAATGAAAACAAGAAAACAAAAAGTGAAAAAGGGAAGTTTGAGTTTGGGAGTCCTCATGTTCTAGAAAAAGGGAGAATGTTTAGGCCTTCTAAGATGTAAAAGACTTTAAGGGTAACTAGAAAGCATAGAAATAGAATGTATCTGAAGAGAGGAATAATGAAAACTTAATAAATCCAGCAGTGATCAGGAAACATGAATGGTGCAGAAAAAAGGTAAAGAGAAAGTAAACAAAAAAGACATAAATAAATAATAGCCTATCAATAACATTAACTGCAAATGGGTTAAATTCACCTGTGAAGAATAATTTCCATTATGATTTTTCCAGAAGCACTTTAATCTTTTATTTTTATTTAATTTCTTTTTAAATTTGGAAGGGGAAGGGCAGAGGGAGAGGAAGAATCTTAAGCAGGCTCCATGCCCAGTGCAGAGCCTGATGCGGGGCTGATCTCACAATCCTGAGATCATGAGTTGAGCAGAAATCGAGTGGAACCCTTACCCAACTGAGCCACTCAGGTGCCCCATTATTTTAATAATTTCCCTTGCAAACTAAAAATAACTAATTTCCAGTGAGCTAGAGCATACCACTGGACACTTTTTGCCACCTTGACCTACTCAGTTGCCCTTCACTCGCCATAGCCCTCTACCCACTTTTGTCTTTTTAAAATTTTTTAATATATTTATTTGTCAGAGAGAGACAGCATAAGCCGGGGGAGGGGCAGAGCAGGTAGCAGGAGGCTGAGGGTGTAGCGGGCTCCCCACTGAGCAGGAAGCCCAATGTGGGACTCAATCCCAGGACCCTGCGATCATGACCTGAGCTGAAGACAGATGCTCAACCGACTGAGCCACCCAGGCATCCCTTCCTCTTGTTGTCTTAAATACACTTTGGAGTTTCTCCAATGAGGGACAGGAGCTGGGAGGAGTTTCAGCACCAGTACTGTATGCTTTCTGTACCGTGTTCAAAGTTATTTAAATTGCTTCATTTCTTTGCATGTTTATTATTGATTTAATATGCAGTTAGGTTCATTTTCTTCTGTTTGGAATTAATTTTAGGGCTTTGTTTTTTCTTTTTTATTTACTTTTTACTTTAGGTAATGGAAACAAACATACACATAAATAGAGGGAATAGTATAATGAATTCCCATCCATGTACCTGCTTCCTACTTAAACAATCAGCAATTCAAGGCCAGTCTTCTTTTTTTATATTTGTTCCCAGTATCCACTCACTCTTAAATTAGTTTTTAAGTGAATCACAGAAACCAGAATCACTATCTCTAGGGCTCGGGTAGAGTGTCCAAAGGAAGAGCACCCCCCACCTGGTGCTGAGATTCAGACCTTGGTGGGAAGACCTCAGCTGTGGCTCACAGAATGGCAGAGAAGTTGCTGTGCCATTGCACCTGCAGAAGCTGTTGGAAATCCACCCCTTGGGGCACTGGGGGAAGCTCTTCATTGGGAGGTGTCTCACTGGGAGCTTAGTAACTGCTGTGGGAGGCCAGGAAAGCTGCTGGCCACCATGCACAGCAGGAGGGGCAACTGTGCAGGAGCTGGAGGCACTCTGCTATGAGATCAGCCAAGGGGTACACAGGGGGAAAGCTGCTGGCCTCATTTACCACTTTCCATTCCCTACCAAGATTAATTGAGAGAGGCTTGGAGTCCAACGCTTAACTAACTGAGCCACCCAGGTGTCCCTCAATAATGTTTTTTTTTTTTTAAAGATTTTATTTATTTATTTGACAGACAGAGATCACAAGTAGGCAGAGAAGCAGGCAGAGGAGGAAGCAGGTTCCCTGCTGAGCAGAGAGCCCGATGGGGGACTCGATCCCAGGACTCTGGGATCATGACCTGAGCTGAAGGCAGAGGCTTTAACCCACTGAGCCACCCAGGTGCCCCAATAATGTTCTTTTTCTTTCCCTGAGTGAAACTTGAAATTCGCTTCTTGCCAATGTTCCTTTATAGCAAGACTATATGTAGGGGTGTGTGTGTGTGTGTGTGTGTGTGTGTGTGTGTGTGTGTGTACACATCACAACACATCACAACACACTTAGAGGGGGCGCGGTGGGTGGGGGCTCAGTGGTTTTAAGCAACCAATTCTTGATCTCCGCTCAGGTCCTCAGGGTCCTCCGATTGAGCCCTGCCTCTGGCTCTACCCTCAACAGGGAGTCCGCTTTGGGACTGATTCTCTTTCCCTCTGCCTCTCCCCATGCTTGCGCGCGCTCTCTCTCTCAAATAAATAAATAAATAAATCTTTAAAAAAAAAAAAACCAACCACACAAAACTTTGAAAATATACTTTAATTAGGCTGCCTGAAACAACACACACACACACACACACACACACACACACACACACTCACAACCCAAATTTTTTAACGGGGCTCTAATACCTCAAACAGTTTATATTTTTAAATTATTTAAAATAAAACGTATTTATGCTATTCCTGTGTTACTCAAAATATCCTGTTTTTAAAAAGAAAATGAAAGAAGAAATTACTTGGCCATAGTATATTTTGCTTTTAATAAATTACTGTTTTCTATTTGCCGTGTGGATAAGGCATATGCTTTCTATAGGTCATGTCTATATTAATAACTAAGAATTACGTACACATTTCCCTCCAATATAACCAGAGCTCTTCCATGAAGCTTAAATGCCACCAAAGCAGAAATCTCCACGAGGTGAAGAGGAAACCCCTACGGCTTTCCGGACAAACACTCCACGAACCTTGTGGGAAACGTAGTCTCAGTGGATTTCCCCCAGAGGACCCTGGGAAAGTGGGCGGGTCGCTACTTCTGCGCGCGCGTAGGGAGCCTTCCGGAAGTGTCCTGAGTTCTCTGTCTTACCTGGGTGCCGAGCTGCAGGTGACCATGAAGGGCTGGAGGGACAGTTGAAGAGCAAAGACTGGCTTGTTGGTTCATGCAAAGGAAGTAAAACTGTAGGTAATCCCTCTGCACGGGACCATTTGGTTCAGAGAAAGCCGAGGAAGGGTTGGACTCCCGCTTCCCTGAGGTGGAGACCAGGTCTGGCTGGGGTGAGGCGGGTCAGTGCGTCGCTGTGTTGTAGGTGCCGTGCGCTGCCTAGGGACTCCACGCTTGGGCGTTGAACTGAACCTCATCTCACTCCAGGAGCTTTTGACTCGCAAAAGGCTGTAAATCCCCTCAAGGTGGCGGGGACGAGAACAAGTATACCCAGAGCCAGACACTGTTAAGCACTTTTCAAGAGTATGGAATTTATTTATCATGGTTACTCTGCGATGTAAGTGTCCTCATCGTTTTACAGAGAGGAGGGTAGTTACCTGCTTCAAATCACACAGCCAGTAAGCGGAAGCGATGGTATTCAAACTTGTAGCAGTTTTACCTGAGATTTCATTTCTTTTTGCAACGTAGCACTCTGCCTCCAACAAAGAAGTTAGTTTGCATTGTTTCAGAGGAGTGAGAGCTAATCACTGTTTTTTGAGAGAACTCTTGGTGTCTCTGCAGGAAGGCTGTGTAATTGAACCCGTGGGTCCCTCTCGCATGTTCCTGCCTGTTTCAGTTTCCAGCAGCCCTGGGTAAAATCCATCCACACAAAGCCAGCCTAGGGCCACAGGTGATGGTGAGTTTACAGACGTGGGCCCCAATGTGAAGGTTCCAGTTGGAGTGTTGCTTGTCTGTCATCCGGTCCATTTTTTTTTCTAGAAGGAAAGGAGAGGAGACTCTCTTGAACTGTGACCTTTTATCCCATTTCAGGAGAGGCGGGAATCAACATTTGTCCCTCCTGTCTAGTGAGAGTAGGGCTTGACTCATGGCATTGCAAGTGAGTGCCTTCAAGGACTTTGTCGGCAGGCAGAGGTGTCCCAAGTGTTTGAGGAGAGAGGTGAGAAATTACATAAAAACGGAGAGTTGGGTGTATGTGGTCAGGCCCCACAGGAAAAGGAAACTCACTTGGAGGAGGAGGAGGATATGATTAAGGTAAAGGAAGAAACAGGAACTACTACCCAAAGAAACTTTCTTTGCTAAACAGGTTCTCTCCTTCTCTCCCCATCTGCCGCCCCCTCACCTTTGTCCTTGTCTCCCTTCCTCTCCCTCCCTCCTGGGCTCTCACAAAAACACAGTAATGCAGATGTTTTCCCTTCATTTCCTATTGGTCCATTGGATCTTTCAAGATTAGACTGGCTCCATACTGTTTATTATGACAGTTGCCTTTTGGGGCTACTGATTCCCTTTTTCCCCTTACCTAAATGCACAAATAGTTTACAGAGTGACCACAGGCTGGTAGTGCTAGGAGGTCTTTTAGGAATCTTCTAGTTCTGTTTCATTTTCAGAAGGAATGAAATCAGCCCAGAGATGGCCATTGAGTGCCTGCAGCCTCACAGCTTGTTAATGGCCAAGTCAGTCCCCAAAACCAGTCTTTAATTCCCAGACCGTTGTTCTTTTTCCGGCCTCACAGTTCCTTTGGGCCCAAGTTGCTTAATAAGGGTGTTCAGAAAATGCCTAGCAAGAAGACCAACACTAAGAGAGGTTTATCCATCAATTCACTCAGCAAACATTTGCTAAGTATCTTGTGGACCAAACACTGTTCTGGTGCTTGGTGTACCACAGTGAACAGAGTCTACTTTTCATGGGAGGAAATAAACGAAGCACAAATGAACATGTACATAATCTGTGCTCCGAGAAAAAGGAGTAAGGGTGTCCGAAGTGATGGTGACAGGGAAGGAAGCTATTTTATGTGAGGTGGTCAAGAAAAGCCTCACTGCTAAATGACATGGGGAAGGTAGAGTGAGCTATGCAGTATCTGGGTTTTTTCTGGGGAAGAACAGTCCAAGCATACGAAATATACAGAGATCCTGAGTAATCAGTCTTGGTATTTTGGAAGAGCAGCAAGAAAGTGGAAGGTCTGATCAGGGTGAGCTATAAGAGAGTGATTGGAAGATTGAAGTAGGTGAGATTAGAAGAGGTGGAACCAAGATAGTATAGAGACAGACCTTGGCTTAAAATTTGTATCTTTGTAAATTGTATATGTATAGTTTTTTTTTTTTTATGTGTGTATGTATATATGTACATATATCTTTGAAAAAGTAATGCATTATAAAAAATTTAGAAAGTACTAGTATAAAATAAAAGTTACATTGGACCCTGCTTTCCCTCTGTAACCCTAAATAAGAATTATTTACATTTTGATATATAACTGCCAAGATTGCATGTCTCTGTGTGCATATTTTTTAAATATGATATATCTCACCAAATACTTTTTAAAAAATATTTTATTTATTTATTTTTCAGAGAGAGAGAAAACACAAGCAGGGGAGCAGCAGGCAGAGGGAGAAGTAGGCTCTCCACTGAGCAGGGAGCCTGATGTGGGACTTGATCCCAGGACCCTGAGATCATGACCTGAGCCGAAGGCAGATGCTTAACCGACTGAGCCACCCAGGTGTCCCTGTGTGTATATTTTTTAAAAGCGCAGGGAAGGATCGTATTACATATTTTATGTACTTTTTTCACCTACAAATATAAATGGAACCTTTTTCCATAACAGTTTCTTCCTATAGCATTTTAAAAAAATCAACACTATATTAATGGATATTTAGGCTGTTTTCAGTGTTTTCATATTATAAGCAATGATGTGAAAACATCACTTTTTATCTCTCCTTCCTTATTTTTAAAAATAATTACGGTTTTACTGAATGCTTACCATGCACCATATATTGTTCTGAATGCTTTACAAGTATTAACTTAGTTAATCTTGACAAAATCCTATGACTAATACTACCAGCATTTTTCAGATAAGAAAAGTGAGCTATAAAGTGTTTAGGGTAACTCTGTCAGGGTCACACTGCTAGTAGGTGGAGTAGCTGAATTTGAAGCCAGGCTGCCTGGCTCCCCAGCCTAGGCTTTAATCTTTGCATCCATTCCATTTTATTTCTTTAGGATAAATTTCTGGGTGAAAATAAATCACTAGCTAAGAAATGAACAGTAAGTTATAATAGATCAATAGGGAAGAAATGTGTACATCTACCCAAAAGAGAACATCTTGTCCAAGTTTCCGATGATCATATTAGAATTTAAAGTAGACGCGTTGGTTCTTCTAGAATTTGGACTTCCCTGACTTCCAAGCAGCCTTTTCTGTAGCTGGCATATGAGTACTTATTTCTAGGCTGGAAAGGCAGAGAAATCCCCGAAGTCTCGTTTTCATAGGTCTGTTTCCTTTCCCATGAGTATCAGAAAATTACCAGTTTCCAGACAAGACATCCATCCATCTGTCCATGCATTTATTCATTCAGATTTCACTTTGTTTTTTGGTGGATTTGCAGTGACTTAATAAGAATCCATACACTGACATGGGAAAGTATTACTATATAAGAAACAGGAAAAATATAGATAGACATTTAAATTGAACACGAACTTAGCTGATGTGAAGGCCGTCGGGTCTGCACATGATTTCTCATGCTGAGATGTAAATGTTTGCTGAATCTTGGCAGTCATAGAAAAAGGATACCCAATCAGCAAATTCTTGGCCTTGTCCTAGACAATAAGCTGTAACAATTCCGTGGATAAATGTTTGCCTGGCACGGACTACGAAAGAAAAATTGGGCTGTGTATTTATGTAGGAGATTTGTTGTAAATGCAGTAGCAGTTTTCATATGACCATTGTTTAGTTTCCTTTTGTATAAACTGAATACATGAGACCAAAGCAATGCTCAGTGAACTTAATATTTTCTCTCTTTCCTTCTCTTCCTCTCTCCCTTCCCGTATATATGGATGTATATTTATGTATATAGTGGGACCATTTGAATATGATTTTTGTTTTCCCAAATTTTAATTCTGAGTCAAGTACATAGTAGTTTTTTGTTACCCTGTATAACTGAACTGCAGACTCAGAACAATGAACGTAATGGGAGGAATTGCTCCGAATCCCCTCCCCTTCCCCCGGCGGTACTCACTACAGGCTGAAGATGAATGTGCTGTTACAGGGATCAGTGACATTCCAGGATGTGGCTGTGGACTTCACCCCAGAGGAGTGGCAGCTGCTTGACTGTGATCAGAGAACCTTGTATTGGGATGTGATGTTGGAGAACTTTAGAAACCTCATCTCAGTGGGTAAGGACAGGGGGTGGTGACTCCTCAGTGGAACTAAGAATATACTCCTAGTGCCCTTCCTCTAGGACTTGTGGAAGCTGTGGACGTTCTGAAGCATTCCTAAGTTTGGCCCTGAACGTTAGCGGTCACAGATTCTTCATCCCCTTTGAGATGACGCATAAACAGATAGAGTGTTTATGCTTCTGGCTCCCAGGTGGAGGAGAAGGGTCTTTTCTGTTCTAAAGCCTGTCTGTCATCCTTTCCAGGCCCTGAGACTCAAGGAGGCAGCCTGAATTGTGAGGTAGTGATTTGTCTCTAGCACTTTGTCTCCAGTTCTGTGTTGTTTTCCATGAACAGGGGGCCCCGGTACCAAAACAAAAGGCATCTTCAAGGCAGAGCAAGGACAAGAGCCATGGCTGGGGGAGGGAGAGAACCCACGCTGGCGCTGTCCAGGTGAGTGAAAGAAAACCGGGCAGATGGGAGTCTTTGCAATTGAGATTCCAGTTGGTCAGTGAGGGACAGGTAGCTTGGAAGCAGCTCTTTGAGGAAGGCCTTCTTAAAAGCCACACAGCTTTGGGTCCCCTTGATATAACATCGTCAGATCCCCAGATGACACCTTGACTCCCTGTGCTCACAGAGCTGCTCCTTCTCTTTGCTCAGCTTTTGTCTGGAGGGAGGTCCCTCTCCTCTCTGCCCTGTCTCCCTGCACTGCCTGTTCCATGGAGGCCCTTGCTTTGTGCTCTTAATTCCTAAAATCTTCATTCTTTTATCGTCAACATGGGCACACATCTTTTCCATATATCTAGTTCTTACAAGGTAGTCAGATCATGTGGATTTGAGAAATAAGGAATGAGCTAAGAGTCTAGAGTGTTCACTAATATCCCCTCTTTTTTTTTTTTTAAATAGGAACTCCTTTTTTTTTATTAAAGATTTTTATTTATTTGACAGACAGATCACAAGTAGGCAGAGAGGCAGGCAGAGAGAGAGAGGAGGAGGAGGCAGGCTCCCTGCCGAGCAGAGAGCCCGATGTGAGGCTCAATCCCAAGACCCTGGGATCATGACCTGAGCTGAAGGCAGAGGCTTTAGCCACTGAGCCACCCAGGCGCCCCACTAATATCGCCTCTTAATGGAAGTGAGTCAAATCTCAGAAATAATGAAGAACCATCTTCTCCCCATTTTCCCTAGCGTTATTGTATCCGTGGACTTAATGTTGTAGGGATATGAGCTCAGTGGTGATGATATTACACTGGACAAGGTGTGGCATCATGGTGACAATCAGAATTGACCTTGACCACAAAATATATAAAAGACAAAGGTTGCCAAAAATTAAAAGTCTTCTGTTTCAGATCCCCAGAGTTAATAGAAGTCACTAAGCATGGAAACCAGAATGGGAAATTTGAGATGGAAGCATATGGTGTCACAGGCAAAACAGGGTTCTAGAGACTTATATCTGGGAGATTGAAAGAGGTTATAAAAAGCAGTTAATTTTTAGGACAAAGTCATATCAATTGGTAGAAATAACGATGATGGATGCAAAAGCAATTTATGTTTGGTCACTTTTTTTTTTTTTAATTTGTTTATCTGAGAGAGTGCGCGAGTGTAGGGAGGGACAGGAAGAGAGGGAGAGAGAATTCCCAAGCAGACTCCCTTCTTGAGCATGGAGCCTGACATAGGGCTCCATCCCAGGACCCTGAGATCATGACCTGAGCCTAAATCAAGTCAGATGCTTAACCAGCTGAGCCACCCAGGTGCCCCACATGTGTTTGACTATTTCTAAATACCTCCTATGAGTGGAATTTTGCAATATTTATCTTTTTGTGGCTGCCTTATTCACTTAGTCTAATGTCTTCAGGGTTCATCCATATAGCTCATGACAGGATTTTCTTCTTTTTAAAAGTATGCGTGTGTGTATACTATATTTTCTTCATCCCTTTATTTGTTGATTAACATTAGATTATTTCTTTTTTTTTTTTAAAGATTTTATTTATTTATTTGACAGAGAGAGATCACAAGTAGACAGAGAGGCAGGCAGAGAGAGAGAGAGAGAAAGGGAAGCAGGCTCCCCGCTGAGCAGAGAGCCCGATGCGGGACCCGATCCCAAGACCCTGAGACCATGACCCGAGCCGAAGGCAGCGGCTTAACCCACTGAGCCACCCAGGCGCCCAACATTAGATTATTTCTAATTCTTGGCTATTGTAAATAACGCTCCAGTGAACACAAGAGTGTAAACATCTCTAGGAAATCCTGTTTTCAGTTTTTCTGATAAATGCCCAGAAGTGGGATTGCTGAATCGTATAGTGGTTCTATTTTTGATACTTTTGAGGAAATTCCATACTGTTTTACGCAGTGGCTCCGCCATTTTACATTCCCACCAACAGTGCACCAGGGTTCTAGTAGTTCTACATCTTTGCCAGTACTGGTTAGTTGTTGTTGTTGTTGTTTTCTAATCGACATCCTAACAGATGCGAGGTGTGATCTTACTGTGGTTTTGATTTGCATTTCCGTGATTAATGATATTGAACATCTTTTCATATACCTGTTCACCATTTATGTCTCCTTTAGAGATAGGTCTATTCAAGTCCTTTGCCCATTGTTTTGCTATTAAGTTGTAGGGGTTCCTTATAGATTTGGGATATTAACGTCTTTTTTTTTTTTAAAGATTTTATTTATTTATTTGACAGATAGAGATCACAAGTAGACAGAGAGGCAGGCAGAGAGAGAGAGAGAGGGAAGCAGGCTCCCTGCTGAGCAGAGAGCCGGATGCGGGACTCGATCCCAGGACCCTGAGATTATGACCTGAGCCGAAGGCAGCGGCTTAACCCACTGAGCCACCCAGGCGCCCTGGGATATTAACCTCTTATCTGATAAATGTTTTTAGAATATTTTCTCCCATGCTGTAGGTTGTCTTTTCACTCTGCTGATTGTTTCCTTTGCTGCACAGAAGCTTTTGAATTTGATGTGGTCCCACTTATATGTATTTGCTTTTGCTGCCAGTGCTCTAGGAGTCATGTAAGAAATCTTTGCCAAAAACAATCATATGAAACTTTTCCCCTGTGTTTTCTTCTAGGAGTTTTATAGTTTCAGGTCTTACATTTAAGTCTCTAATATATTTTTGTATATGGTGTAAGATTAGGGTCCATTTCAGTCTTTTACACATGGGTATCTGGTGTTCCCGGATATCAGCCGTTGAAGAGACCATCCTTTCCCCATTGTGTAGTCTTGACTCACTTGTTGAAGACCATATAAGCATGGGTTTATTTCTGGGTTCTCTCTTCTGTTCTCTTGGTCTATATGTCTGTCTTTATGCCAGTACTATACAGTTTTGATCACTGTAATTTGGTAACATGGTTTCAAGTCAGGAAGTGTCAGGCCTCCTGTTTTGTTCTTCTTTCTCAAGAAATTTTAGCAATTTGAGTCCTTTTTGGTTCCATATGAATTTTAGAATTTTTTTTTTCTATTTCTGCAAAATTTGCCATTGAATTGCATTGAATCTGTAGACCACTTTCGGTAGTATGGACATTTTAACAGTATTAAGTCTTCTAGTCCATGAACACAAGATGTCTTTCCATTTACTTGCCTTTAATTTCTTTTATTAGTATTTTGTAGTTGTTAGTATACAAGTCTTTCAGCTCCTTGATTACCAAATTGATTCTTTCTGATACTATTATAAATAGGATGATTTTCTTAACTTCCTTTTTGGATTGTTTTAGTGTATGGAAACACAACTGATATTCGTATGTTGACTTTGCATGCTACAACTTTGCCAAATTTGTGTATTAGTTCTAACACTTTTTTTGTGGAATCTTGAGGGTTTTGTACATATGAGATCATATCATCTGTGAACAGAGATATTTTTACATCTTCCTTTCTAGTTTGGGTGTCTTTATTTCTTTTTCTTACCTAATTGATCTAGCTAGGACTTCAGGACTATGTTGAAGAGAAGTGGTCAGAATAGGCATCTTTGCTGACATTATATAATTTTTTTTAAAGATTTTATTTATTTACTTGACAGAGATCACAAGTAGGCAGACAGCCAGGCAGAGAGAGAGGAGGAAGCAGGCTCCCCGCTGAGCAGAGAGGCCAATGCATGCAGGGTTCGATCCCACAAGACCTGAGCCAAAGGCAGAGGTTTTAACCCACTGAGCCACCCAGGCGCCCCTGACTTTATATAATTTAAATTTTTTCTTTTTATAATATGAGGTTGAAAACAGTAACTGGGAATGTTTCATTTTACACTTTTTAAGAAGTTATCTGCTTACTTGATGATGCGCTAGGAAGCAAAGACAATTTTTTGGACCAAGATATGTTCACTTTTGAGAAAACACTGACCAAGAAGAGAGTCCAGAATTGTAATCTGAATACAAAATGTATTTCTTCAAGACAAATACAGCATAGAGGTGAGTCAAATGGAAAGAGTCTGCAACCTAATTCACACTTGCTCAGTTACAATAAAAATTACATCAGAGAAAACTCTTATGAATACAAGGAATGTGGAAAAGCCTTCAAAAACAAATTTTGTCTCATTAGGCATGGAAAAAAACCTGCAAGAAAAAAAACCTTTGGATGCACTGAATGTGGGAAAGCCTTCCAAAAGAAGTCTCGTCTCATTAGACATGAAAAGAAACATATAAGGAAAAATAAAACCTTTGAATGCAATGACTGTGGGAAAGCCTTTAGCAGTAAGGGACACCTTATAGCTCATCAAAAAATTCATAGTGGAGAGAGACCCTATGTGTGCAATGACTGTGGGAAAGCGTTTATGCATAAAGCACAACTGGTGGTCCATCAGAGACTCCGCACGGGAGAGAAACCTTACAAATGCCCTCAGTGTGGGAAGTCGTTCACTTGGCACTCCTCCTTTACCAAACGTGTGAAATCACATACACTTGAGAACTCATTTGAATGTAAGGAATGTGAGAAAACCTTCAAGTACAGCTCATCCCTTTATAAACATTCTAGAATTCACACAGGAGAATAATCGTACAGGTGTAGAGAATGTGGCAAAGCCTTTGCAGACTCCTCAGTGCTAGTCATGCATCAGAGGATTCATACAGGTGAGAAACCCCATGGGTGTACTAAATGTGGAAAAGCCTTCATCAAGAAGTCACATCTCCTTAAACATTACTTAACTCACACAGCAGAGCAACAAAATAAATGCAGTGCGTGTGGGAAATCTTTTAACCGGAAGACACATCATTCTCCATCAAAGGAGTCATAAAAACATGGAAGCTATGTGAATGTGAAAAACTTACAATTAATTAGCCTTTTATTTTTTACTTTTTATTTTTTTAAAGATTTTATTTATTTATTTGACAGACAGAGATCACAAGTAGGCAGAGAGGCAGGCAGAGAGAGAGGAGGAAGCAGGCTCCCCGCGGAGCAGAGAGCCCAATGTGGGGCTCGATCCCAGGACCCTGGGATCATGACCTGAGCCGAAGGCAGAGGCCTTAACCCACTGAGCCGCCCAGGCGCCCCTAATTAGCCTTTTAATAAAGCAGCAAAGAATTCATCATGAGAAAAACTATGAATTGGATAAATGTGGAAAAGCATGTTCTGAAATTCATATTCTGTGATACTACTAATTTTGAGAAGATTATAGAAAACTTTGGGTTATAAATTGACAATTTTACTGTATAGCATAAAACTGAGAAAGTTGTAAAAAATTTAAAAATCAAGGCATCAAGCTGACTATAATTAATATATGTACTGCCCCAATTTGATTGTCATACGAGTTATACAAATGTCTGCATTGCTTAAGAAATTTGTATAACTATAGGTTTGAAATATATGCTATGCACTTTTTTAAAAAAAGATTTTATTTATTTATTTATTTGTTTGTTTGTCAGAGAGAGAGAGCGCGTGCACAAGCAGGCATAGTGGCAGGCAGAGGCGGAGAGAGAAGCAGGCTCCCTGCCAAGCAAGGAGACCAATGCGGAACTTGATCCCAGGACCCTGGGATCATGACCTGAGCCAAAGGCAGCAGCTTAACGGACTGAGCCACCCAGGCATCCCTATGCTATGCAGTTACACAAAATTACATCTGTTATGGTGATGGTTACTCAGCATTGTGACTGTACTTAATGCCAATGAATTGTACACTTAAAATGGTTAAAATAGTAAATTTTATGGTGTGTGTATTTTATTGCCATAAAAAATACGTAAAAATCTTTAAACCGGGATTATGTTTGGTAAACATCATCATTGTCTTTTCAAACCTAAAATCACCATATGAAGGCTTGCCAATTATAAGTGAAATCATATGGCTTAAATAGAATAAAGTTCAGTCCTTGTGAACCATTTCATGGCACCTATGAATAGTTGTGGCTAAGCCTTCTGGAGCCTCCTTTTAAATAACAAGTAAGGGACAGTGATGAAGTCCTGTACTTACTCTGCTCAGCTGAGGACGTTGGATAATATGTTATTTCTTTTTTTGCCTATTTACTATTTATAATATTTTATTGCAATATTGTGTTTGTTTAATCCTGGTTAACTGGACACTGAAGAAAGAAAACAACTGTGTTTTTTTAAATATTTTATTTATTTGTCAGAGAGAGAGAGAGCACAGGCAGGCAGAGGCAGAAGCAGGCTCCCTGTCGAGAAGGGAGCCCTATGTGGGACTCGATCCCAGGACACTAGGATCATGACCTGAGCTGAAGGCAGCCACTTAACTGACTGAGCCACCCAGGCATCCCAACAACTGTGTTTTATACTCTAAGCACTTAGTATGGGAAGAAAGGCTTTTTTTCAGGTAAATAGTCACGTGAATAAAATCCATACTATTTCACTGGCATAGCTATATAAGGAATGAACCTAGCTCAAGTAGTATGACTGGGGTACTTTGTTTAGAAAAATTAGGTGTTAGGATTCTTTGCGTAGACTTCTGGAAGAAAATTACTGCATTTTTGTTTTGGAAGTTGGTTTAGAGCTATCTCAGGCTTGTTTGGAAGTTGCTGGGTGACTAGCATAGGTGTTGTATCAAGCTATTTGAAAAGCTTTTCTCTTTCCATGAGCTGCTTAGCAGCTATTTTGTAATTTGATATTATGTAAGTTCTGTTTTCTCTTTTAAAACCTGAACCAGGGGCGCCTGGGTGGCTCAGTGGGTTAAGCCGCTGCCTTCAGCTCAGGTCATGATCTCAGGGTCCTGGGATCGAGTCCCGCATCAGGCTCTCTGCTCAGCAGGGAGCCTGCTTCCCTCTCTCTCTCTCTGCCTGCCTCTCTGTCTACTTGTGATCTCTCTCTGTCAAATAAACAAATTAAATCTTAAAAAAAAAAAAACCTGAAGCAATGCTGATTTAAGCAGACATTTTATATTTCACTTGAAGTATTGCTTGATAATGTAAAAAAGTCTTTACACCCTTTCTTTGGTGGTTGTGAGGCTTAGGTATAGCATTAAGTTTGAACCTAAATTCGCCAAATCAGTTTTTCTCTCACAAGCCTACATTTTTGGATTAAATATGTAAACTTGGAATTATTTATCTTTCAAGAGCATTTTTTTAAAAGATTTTATTTATTTATTTGACAGGCAGAGATCACAAGTAGGCAGAGAGGCAGGCAGAGAGAGAGGAGGAAGCAGGCTCCATGCTGAGCAGAGAGCCCGATGAGGGGCTCAATCCCAGGACCCTGAGATCATGACCTGAGCCGAAGGCAGAGGCTTTAACCCACTGAGCCACCCCGGCGCCCCTTGAGCATTTTTGTAGGGTGATGATGGGTGAAGATTCTGCATGAGAATCATTTTCGGAATATCCATCAGATCTAAGGTAAGCCTGCCTCACAGTTTTCAATACTAAGACTACATGCCAATTAAACAGGTAGTCACACCGAATCACTCGGCAAACCACAAAAGTGTATATGTAAACCAGTTATAAACTCAAGCTTTTCTCGAGTTATCTCTCATTTCCTTTTAAAGCTTTGTTTTGGGGCACCTGGGTGGCTCAGTGGGTTAAGCCTCTGCCTTCGGCTCAGGTCATGATCTCAGGGTCCTGGGATCGAGTCCTGCATCAGGCTCCCTGCTCCGCAGGGGCCTGCTTCCTCCTCTCTCTCTCTCTGCCTGCCTCTCCGCCTAATTGTGATCTCTGCCTGTCAAATAAATAAAAAAAAATCTTTAAAAAATCATTAAAAAAAAATAAAGCTTTGTTTTGCTTTATTTAATATTACTTCTCCCCTTCTAGTTCTCTCTCAGCTCCTGTCCTTAGCAGTAATAGCATCTGAGCAAATGCAGACTTTAAGACAGGAAGAAGACTCCCTTAGGGATGTAAAGTCTCTCATTGCTGCGAGAACAATGTGAGATTCTTGAGAGGTCTTGTGCATCAGGGGTAGACCGAGAATGAGGAGGAGGCTGGGAGTGTTATTTGACATTATGGTCTGAGCTCCATGAGCTAAACTCTTTGCTCCCTTTCTTAAATGCTGAAATTAATGGAGTAAGAGAAATAGCGGAGTATGAACCAAAATCAAATGTTTGAAAAGCTGAAACAAAGAAAATGTTTTTCTATTTAAACTAAATCATTGTCGCGCTAAAACGAAATCGTGAATCCCACTAATTCTAATGCATTTCATGGGGCTAGGAGCTCTTGTCTGAGAAGGGAAAACTGGTCCACACTGTGGTACATATTATGCAAATGCATAAATTAGCAATATCTTGAGATTAATTGTAAAGTGTGCAGAACATTATATTAACCAATCAAGTTTGCACATTATGTTTAGGTAAGATCAAGTGAATTTAAAGTTGTTTCTTTTTTTTTTTTTTTTTTTAAACATCATGTTTAGGGATGCCTGGGTAACTTAGGTGTCCAACTCTTGATTTTGGCTCAGGTCATGATCTCAAGGTCATGAGACTGAGCCCTGTATTAGGCTCTATGCTCAGCATGGAGTCTGTTTGAGATTCTCTCTCTCCCTCTGCCCTTCCTCCTGCTCACACAGAGGCTCACTCTCTCTCAAATAAATAAATCTTAAAGAAACCATATTACTGAATAAAATAGGGTTACAAGGAGCATTAGGTATTCATACTTAATTGGAAGACTCTTATCTAAGCCAAGACCTGTGTTGTTAATGATTTCTGTGATCCCAAGTTATTGTCGTGTTTTAGTTTCTTGAATATATTTTTACAAATATATATTGCTAAATTTTAAAAATTGAGATAGATAGCTGAAATAGCACATTTTATTCCAGGTTTATTCCAGTTCCAGGTGTACAACATTCTTTGATATTTGTATACATTGTGAAATGTTCACCACAATAAGTCAAGTGAATAGCCAATACCACACATAGTTACAATTTTTTTTTTGTGATGAGAACTTGTAAGATTTACTCTCTCAACAGCTTTCAGTCATACAACAGTATTAACCATAGTCACCATGCTGTATATTACATGTCTAGGACTTGCTTATTTTAGAGCTGGAACTTTGTACCTTTTGATCCCCTTCACCCTTTTTCTTCATGCCCCGACCCCTACCTCTGGCAGACACCAATCTGTTCTCCATATGAGTTCAGGGTCTTTTTTAGATTCAGTATATAAGTGATTTCATATGGTATTTGTCTTCGTCTGACTTATTTTACTTAGCATAATGCCCACAAATTCCATCCATGTTGTCACAAATGGCAAGATTTCCTTCTTGCTGAATAACAATTCCACTGTATATGTATATAAGTGTGTGTGCATGACATCTTTATGCACTTATCTACTGATGGACACTTGGGCTGCTTCCATGTCTTGGCTATTATAAATAATGCTACAAGAAAAGTTTCACACAGTAACTAGTTATATACATATATATGGTTTTTTTTCAACCCCAGACATATCTGTGGGCAAAGCACTTCTATATTTAAAGCTATAAATATGACCATTAACCTGAAAAATATTATTTTCCCACATTTCCAGACTTCTTCGACACTTAGCATTCTGGTACAATATATACGTATTGCTACATGGGTAACTTTGTATCATTGACCTCACTCTTTCCTAGATAAGCTCATCGCCAGAACATGATTTTGGCAAGAAGAAAACCAACATATTATTTACACTCAGCTCAAACATGATCTTAAATTCCCCAGAAGCCCATTTTTAAAAATTTGAAGTCTACACCTTTGTATAGTTGTCAAAAGTGTCTGAAATGGTCATATGTAATGTAAGCAGAATATCTTTTTTTTTTTTCACATTCACCTCCCCTCTAGAATGTTACATTTGGATGAAGTTTTACTTTCATTGTTCCCCCCCTTTTTAAAGATTTTATTTATTTGACAGAGAGAGATCACAAGTAGGCAGAGAGGCTGGCAGAGAGACAGGAGGAAGCAGGCTCCCTGCTGAACAGAGAGCCTGATTCAAGGCTTGATCTCAGGACCCTGGGATCATGACCTGAGCTGAAGGCAGAGGCTTTAACCCACTGAGCCACCCAGGTGCCCCTGTTTCCCCTTTTTAATAGGAACACTCAATATGCTATTTTATTCGTTCTTTAGTGTTAAACATTAGGTTCATTTTTTTCCAGTATGAACATAGGTTTATTTTTTATACTTTAGTACATACAAAAAACTTTTAATGAAAATATTACCTGAAATCTCATTTTTCTGAGAAACCATCATTAACATCAGCCACTGGGGGAGAATGGAATTCTCTCTATAATTCTCTATATTTTCTCTATAAATTCTCTATATTTTCTCAGAGGCATTGATGAACAAATGAATTGTAAACATATTGGTAAATCTGAATTTATGCTGGGTGTAGGTAATTTAAGGATTAATTTGGGAGAGGGCTAGAAATAAGGTGAAATGAATATTCTAGATAATGTTAGAATAAGTGGGAGGAATCAGAGTTACAGTGTTACACATTATACAGTCTGTTCTGGGAGAGGATACTAACTTTATACCTTGTTGAATATGTATGATAAAAACTGAAGGCTACCCACTAAAAAGAAAGACTTTCAGAAGTCACTAGAGAGAAAAAAAGGAATAAAAAACTATAAATCTGGTAGAAAACAGGAAAAGAAAACTAAAGCAACAAAGAAAAGGCATGGTAAATATAAAGCAAAAATAAAACAGGAATGTGTCTGAGTAGATCATTAATCACAATAAAGGCAGTGGATTAAATCACTTATCTTGAGGAATAATAATGCCTGCATTGTATTTAGGGTTACCTTTTTTTTAAAGATTTATTTATTTATTTATTTGAGAGACAGAGAGAGAGAGAGCATGAGAGGAGAGAGGTCAGCGGGAGTAGCAGAGCCTGATGCAGGACTCGATCCTGGGACTCCAGGATCATGACCTGAGCTGAAGGCAGTTGCTTAACCAACTGAGCCACCCAGGCGCCCTTAGGGTTACTTTTTTAACATGTCAAAAACACTTTATAACTTGCATTGTAAAAGGGAGATAATCAAGTGCTCTCCAAAAAAAAAAAAAAAAAAAAAAAAAAGGCTGATACCTTTTTGAAGAAAAGAAGGAAGAAAGAAGGTAAACTGATAATATGACTAATTTATTTCATGAATTAACACTATCTCTTGTTTAAAAAAGAAAATGTTGGGGCACTTGGGTGGCTCAGTGGGTTAAAGCCTCTGCCTTCGGCTCAGGTCATGATCCCAGGGTCCTGGGATCGAACCCCACATCGGGCTTTCTGCTCTGCAGGGAGCCTGCTTCCTCCTCTCTCTCTCTCTGCCTACCTCTCTGCCTACTTGTGATCTCTGTCTGTCAAATAAATAAAGAAAATGTTTTCCGGGTGCCTGGGTGTCTCGGTTAAGTGTCCAACTCTTGATTTTAGCTAAGGTCGTGATCTCGGGTCTTAAGATCAAGCCATGTGTGGGGCTTCCTGTTGGGCGTGGGGCTCCCCATCTGGCAAGGAGCCTGCATAAGATTTTCTCTGCCAGTCTCCCACCTAGCGCACACACACTCTCTCTAAAAAGAAAACAGAAACAGTTTAAATAATTTTTCAAGTCTAGAAATTAATTATAGCTTGTAGAGCAGTAAGCATGCTTTACCAGTATAGGAGTTGCCACTTTACATTGGGCAGAGAAAGGACTAATTTAGTCTGTTTTGAGCAAGGCCCTCCACCACACAGCAGTGGTACAAATATCTTTTAAGGTCAGAGTGACGGTTTGGGAGTTCTCTGTCTTCACTGCATTTTAATCAAGAGGGAGAAGTAGATACTTTTCATTCCTCCTCCTTTTGCCTTAACAAAAGAGAGGCCTAAAAGTCCATACTTTTCTAAAGCAGAGACTATCAGATTAAAAAAAAAAGATTTATTTGACAGAGAGAGAGCACAAGTAGGCAGAGCAGCAGGGAGAGGGAGAGGGAGAAGCAGGCTCTCTGCTGAACAGGGAGCCCGAACTCGGGGCTCAATCCCAGGACCTGGGATCATGACCTGAGCTGAAGGCAGCCGCCTAACTGACTGAGCCACCAAGGCATCCCATCAGATTGTTTTTAAAAATCCAGATATAAGCTGCATGCAAGATTGAAGCCAAGTCATCCAGAAAGGATAGAAAATAAAGGAGTGGTACAAGATCCATTAATCAAATACCAGAAAGCTGATGTATCAGTATGAATGGCTACAGGTCAGGGGCTGCTAAACTCTCCCTATAAAGGGCCCGGTATCAGTTACCTTGCTCTGTGGCCTATACGGTCTGATATGACTACTCTGTTGCTGTAGCCTGAAAGCAGCCACAGGCACAAAAAAACATAGACCACAAATGAGTGTGGTTGTATTCTAATAAAACTATTTACAAAAACAGGCAGCAAAACGGATTTGGTCCTCAGGTATAGATTGCCGATCCCTGTTGTAGCGGTATACTGTTAACACAGCAGTGAGCAAAAAAGGCAAGACACCAGCACTTGGCTCAACAATAAAAAAATAAGTGATCATCTTAGGTATTGACAAGTAAACACTCTTTAAAGCCTGTGAGGGCATTGACTGTGATAGGAAACCAAGATGGAGAGGCAAAGGAAGTCCTCTGAGGAGCCAAGACTTGAATGCAGTGAACGGAGGAGCCTTGGAAAGATCCTGCAAGTCTCCCGACACAAGAGTGAGTCTGGCCTGTTGAGAACCAGCAAGAAGTCCAGTATGGCTGGAGGAGAGACGTGGGGATGAGTTTTGTGCATTAGACAGGTGCCAGAGTATGTAACATTGCATTCTAAATGTGATGGGAAGATTGTGAAGATTTGAGAAGAGGGCTATAGTCTGATTTACTTTTGAAAAGTTCTCCCTGGCTATGTGTGGGGAATAGATAGTAGGGATGGCAAGAGGGCAAATAGGGAGACCAGTTAGGAGGCAATTGGCCCAGAGTCCAGAAAACAGATGAGGGTGCCTTGGACTAGGGTGTTGGGAGTGGAGATTCTCCTCTGGTGGCCAGACTGTGTCAGCCTGAGCAGCCTTGGAAGCAATGTGTTAAAGAGGGCAGGGCCACTGTCAGTCTGGATCATTGCTATGGTCTGAACTTTTGTGTTCTCAAACTCATATGCTGAAAACTTCATACCCAAGGGGGTGGTATTAGGAGGTGAGGTCTTTGGGAGATGATTAGGTCATCAGGACAGACTTCATGATTGGGATTAGCACCCTTGCAAAAGAGATCCCACAGGGCTTGCTAGCTCCTTCTGCCATGTGAGGTTATAAGAAGTCTGCCACCCTGAAGAAGACCCTCTCGTGACCATGCTGGCACCCTGGTGTCAGACTTCTGGCCTTCAGAACGTGAGAAATTTCTATTTATAGGCTCCCCAGTCTACGGCATTTTGTTCAAGTAGCCTTAACGGACTAAGTCACTGTCTCTCACATGGAAGAGAGCTGCCCTCCAACATGGACCACCTACTCTGTACGGTGGAATGAGGAAGAGGAAGGAACTACTTTGCCTGAGCCAATGCATGGGGAAGTCTATTTGTTCCAGCAGTTTATCCTTATAACTAACACAGGGATTGTCATCGAAGTACACACGTACCGTGGAGATAGTGCAGGTTCAGTTCCAGACTGCTACAATAAAGCAAGTCAAATTTTCTTGGTTTCCCAGTGTATTTAAAAGTTTTAAGACCAGGGTACCTGGATGGCTTAGTCAGTTAAGCATCTGCCTATGGCTCAGGTAATGAACTCAGGGTCCTGGGATTGATTCCCACATGGGGCTCCTTGCTCATCTGGGGAGCCTGCTTCTCCCTCTGCCTCCCACTCTCCCTGCTTGTGCTCTCTCTCTGACAAGTAAAAAAGAAAAAGAAAAAAGAATGGAGACTAAAAGATCAGAAATAAGATCTTTAACGAAATTTATAAGCCTGTATATATATGTATTTATTATATATACTGTATGTAATACCATACAGTAGTCTGTGTAAGTGTGCAATAGCATTATGTTTAAAAACACTGTGTACATACCTTAATTGAAAAAATACTTTATTGCTAAAAAATGCTAATCATCGTCTGAGCTTTCAGCAAGTGGTAATTACTAATCATAGACCACCATAACAAATATAATAATGAGAAAGTTTGAAATTTTTCGTGAATTACCAAAATGTGAGAAACATGGAGTGTGCAGGGGGAAATTGGGGCCATTTTAGAAGCTGCCTGCACACTGAACAGTACCATTTCTGGGTACAGGGAAAAGAAACGTGACAAATTGTCCATTGACTCCTAAATGATTCTTTTTGGAAGTGGCATACAGTACTTCTGCTCATATTTTGTGGCCAAACAGGTCGCACTGCCACCACTAACTTCCAAGGGATAGGAAATTGCAGTCCTACCATGTACTGGAAAGAAGAGGGAACCCAGAGCATTTGTGAATAGTACTGACTGTAAGTCCCAGGTGCAGAACATGACGTTAACTGGGATTTGTCCTTTAGTCCAGGATGGAAACTAGGATTAAGAGGTGAGCCATTAAGGACCCCACAGTGCAAAAAAAGAGCCATAAATAACTGGGTGCCAGACAACCTCTCCACTTCCAGGACTTACTAAAGGGTGACCAGTCTTCTCCATCCTCAACCGTTTCCCCAGACCTGTTCTGACAACCCCCACTTCAGATAACTTCAAGATTAGTTGGAGCGGTGGGGATGGGAACCAGCAGCCATGAATCAGCCGGGGAAAAGGACCCCCTGGGTTTGCTCCAAAAATCAAGTGAGGATTCCAAGCGATTCCCCCTTGGAGACTGGGGCTGCTCGCAAGAAGGAGGTTGGAAACCTGTATAGAAACAAGAGGGAGGAAGGGAGGCCAAGTGGACATCCCATTAGGTGTTCTGGCTGGAGGGGGAACTACGGGCCCAGGGAGTTGGCAGGGGTCACCCTGGGTTGGGGCTACGCATCAGAGAACTGTGCGGGAGACAGCGCCGCACACTTGGGCACCCAGCGACCCAATCCTCAGCACGCCACCGGGAAAGCTCGGGCACCCGGCGGCGGTGGGGTCTACAGAGACCGCGCGCCGCAGGGTCTTGTGGGAGGTGCGGCGGGGCTGTCCGTGCGCAGGCGCAGTGCTGCCGGACCGCGGGCTTGACCCCCGCCACCAAGCGCTGGCAAAGCTGGGCCGCTCTTTGCAGCGCCCCAAGTTACTCGCGGAGAGACTGGAGCTCACAGGGGCACTCTGGGTCAGCGGAGCCATGCAGGTCAGAGCGCCAGACTGCGGGTACGATGGAGGGACTTGAACCCCAAATCTGGGGCCTCGGGAGCAATGGTCTCAAAAAGAGGGTGATGCTGAGATTTGGCTATGGAGTGTGGGAACCTTCCACGTTCTCTAAGCACTCACTTCGCCGGGCTCTGCTCGTCTCCGACGGGGGTTAGTGGCATCTGTCCCCGAGTGGTTTGTGGGTCCCTTTCTCCTTCCGACTCCAGGCTTGGCGCCGCAACCCTGCGCGGGGCTGCTCCGGCTCTGAGTGTCCCCCGGGTCAGGGCCGCAATCCCGCGGCTCCTCTCTCAGAGCAGTGTGCCCCGGGGGATCCACCCTTTGGTGCCTCGGGTTTCTCTCAAGTGTTGTATCGCCTGCGTTGCCGTTCTTGTGTCCAGTGGTCCCTAGCCCGAGTTCCTCCAGGTATGTATCAGGAGAGGTGCTTAGTGGGGCTTTGAACCTGGCTGGGTTTCCGAAGACTTGCTGAGGTGGCGGTGGGGAGGACGGACGGGGTGAGAATAGAGATTTGGAGCCTAGGAGAAAGTTGCCAGCTGAGGACAAGCTGTTCCTGAGCCAGTGGGAACAAGCCATGCTCTAATGAATGAAGGCTGTAGCTCCACAGGAACCTATCCTTGAAGGGACACACCTGTGACCTGAGACCTGCCAAAACTGAGCCAAGACGGTGGTGTGGATGAGGACCGGAGTGTGGAGCTGCTGGGGCTGCAGAGGTTCCTTTGCATGGCTTGGGTCAAGTGACCCCTTTCAGAGATCAGGGAGGGCCTGTGGAGGTTTTGACTGAGAACAGAGGAAGGATAACTTAACCGAGAGGGTGAACAATCTGCAGTATGGAGAAAAGAAGGAAACATAGGGCAGGGGAGTTGAGGGAGTGGTTCAGACAAGGCAGAAACAATGTGGCCATTCTTTGGGAGCTGCAAGGAAGACTTGGTATCTCATGGCTCCTTTTCTCCTCCAGCTCTGTCTCCTTAACTCCGTAACCTTGCCCAGGCAGAAGAAGAAATGACCACTTCCAGGTAAGATGCAGTTTTTCTTTTTCAGTCCAGACTTTTGAGGAAAAACATAAGTTGCTCTTTCTCCTTCAGGAAAGGAGAAGGAAACTTTCATGGAGCACTTACTGCATGCTAGATACACTCAACACTGACTTTTCTTTTAATTCTCACAGTAGGTGTAAGAAGTGGATGTTATTCCCATTTTACAGATGTAGCAACTGCCTCAATGAGGGTTAGAGACTTGTCAAGTTCACCAGGCTATTAAATGGGGAAGTCAAGATTCATCTCTAGGTTCCTTGCCTCTGCTGTACATGTTGTCAATGGACAAGTCTTCTCATCCATGGACTGGGCATACATTGTCCACATCTAAAGGGGTGGGTCTAATCTCTGAAATGAGGGACTCCAAAGAGAATGCTACCTTCAGGCCTGATGCCCTCCTTTAAGTTTGTTCCCTTCTCTACTTGACATTTAGCTCCTTCATTTATCCACTTAGTTATGAAGTCAAAGGTATCAGTGCTAGAGAAAGGTGATGGAGGAAGACTTCCTGAAGTAGGTGAGCTTTTGTTTCTTTTTTTTTTTTAACATTTTATTTATTTATTTGAGAGAAGAGAGAGACAGTGAGAGAGAGCATGAGCGAGGAGAAGGTCAGAGGGAGAAGCAGACTCCCCGTGGAGCTGGGAGCCTGATGCGGGACTTGATCCCGGGACTCCAGGATCATGACCTGAGCTGAAGGCAGTTGCTTAACCAACTGAGCCACCCAGGCGCCCTGAGCTTTTGTTTCTTAAAGAGAACATTTGAGTATATGAACTTCCATACCTCTTTCAAGTCTTTGCTTTTTGTTGTTGTTGATAATTGTTTTATGGCCTGATAGGTGATCAATTTTTACAATGTTTCATGTGTACTTGAGTAGAATGTGTATTCTCTAATGGTAGGTGCCAATGTCTATAGGTGTCCATTTATTTTTGTTTGACTGACCCATCAGTAATTGAGAGAAAAAATGCATGATATTTCCTTGAGTAGTAGATACATCAGTTTCTCTCTACAGTACTTACGTTGTTTAAAAAGATGTAATTTGTAGATGTTGTAAGATGTATATTATATATAAGTTTAGAGTTGAGTTGTTATAGCTTCATGGAGAATTGAATTTTTTATCTCTATGCAGTGATCTTTTATTTCACTAGTGGTGCTTTTCATCTAGAAATTTACTTTCTTTGATATTAATATAGCTATTCCAGCTTTCTTTTGGTTATTATCTTTTTACATACTTTACATTCAACCTTTTCATGGCCTTATGCTTTGGGTGTATCGCTTGTTAACAATTTAAAGCTGAATTCTCCTCGTCCCCTCTCATCTCTGCCTTTTTAACTGGCAGGTTTAGTCTGTTTGCATTTAGTGTAGTTATTGGTATATTCAAAGTTTTCATACTGTCTTACTTTTTTTTTAAAGTAGGCTCCACACACACTGTGGAGCCCAACATGGGGTTTGAACTCACATTCTTGAGATCAAGACTGGAGCTGATATCAGGAGCTGGACACTTAACTGACTGAGCCACCCAGGTGCCCCATACTTATATTTTAATTTTATTTGTCCATTTTTTTCTGTTTTCTCCCCCTCCTTTCTTACCTTTTGGGTTGTTTTTTTTTTTTTTTTTTTTTTTAAGATTTTGTGTATTTGAGAGAGAGCATGAGAGGGGAGAAGGTCAGAGGGAGAAGCAGACTCCCTGCAGAGCTGGGGCCCAATGTGGGACTCCGGGATCATCAGATGAGCTGAAAGCAGTGGCTTAACCAACTGAGCCACCCAGGCCCCCAGCCTTTTGGTTTTTGTACATTGTTTTTTAAGTGGCTAGGGTTCCCCCCCCCTTTTCTACTTATTTCAAATTTATAACCCATGTAAGGTTATATTCTTTGGGTGGTTATCCTTGAAATTTTTGTTTGACTGACCCATCAGTAATTGAGGGAAAAAATGCAAATTTGCAAATCTAGGTTTAAACAACTTAAAGAATATTGCAAAGACTTTAAAACTCTTTACCACTGATCACATCCTCACTTGAATTATAAGCTATTATTTTCTGCCTTTTTATTCTGTTCTTTTAACTTCATGAATTAGATATTATTAGAATTATTTTATACAGTGTTTGTTTGGATTTGCATACATATTTATCACTTATTTGTGTGCCATTCCTTCTCAGACTTTTAGGATCCCTTTTCTCTTTCCTTAGGTGGATTCCTTAGAAGTTCCTTTTTAATTCCTCTTTAGACATTCCATTTTGTTATTTTTCCACAATTGTATGTTATTTCCAGATAATTTCTTTGCTTGATTATCTTATAATTGTATCTTTCATTTTTTCAAATAATTTATGTATTGCTGCTCTCGTTCTGTATCTAATGGTTTAAATATCAATAGTTTTTAGTAGTCTAAATTTGTTTTCTGCTGACTCTCATCTTTGGTGACTTTAATTGTTAGCTCACTGATTGATATTAATATGTAGGAGTCCTACGGGAAATTTTCCTCCAGAGGGAACTTGCTTCTATTTCTGCCAGTAGCTTAGAGGATGCTACTAGATGATTCCAGTTCCTTAATGTCATTTTGCCACAAACCTTTCAGAGGGCTTTTGGAAATATGTGTCAAAAGTCTTTAAAGTGGGGTGCCTGGGTGGCTTAGTGGGTTGGGTGTCTGCCTTTGGCTCAGGTCATGATTCTGGGGTCCTGGCATTGAGCCCTGCATCAGGCTTCCTGCTCAGCAGGGAGGGTGCTTCTCCCTCTGCCCCTGTTTGTGCGCTTTCTCTCTCTCTGAAAAATAAATAAATAAAATCTTTTTTAAAAAGTCTTTAAAATGCCTATGTCTTTGACCTACCGATTCTACTTCTAGGAATTTACCCAAAGAAAAAAGTTGATAAGTGCATAAAATTTAAATACAGTGATATAACTTGCAGTTAGTAATAGTAATAATCAGTATAGTAATAAAAACTGGGAAGCGATTTAAGTGTTCAATATAGGGAAACTGTTTTAAATAAACTATGATGTAACCATAAGGTGAACCAGTCTGGCTATTAACAAGGTGCAGAAGAACATTTACTAGCAAGGGAAAATGTTCATGATACTGTAATTGAAAAATATTTTTAAAGTTATGAAGAATATTCCCAATGTAAAAAATCTATATATGTATGCCAAAATATAAATAGAAGTTATTTTGGAGGCAATGTGATTATATAATATGTATTTTTTTTCTGTAGTTTTCTCTTATTTTTTATAGCACTTTTGTTATCAGAAAAAAACAAATGAAAAGTAATTCCCTTTCAGGGAGCAGGGAGTTATTAGAGATGTTTGTTGTTTTATTTTCAAGTTTTTTTTACTTTGATGAATAGTAATTATATTAGCACATACTCTGGGGTGGGAGGGAAGGTCATGATTTAAGTGTTTAGCCTAGAAATACGAGCTAACACTCCAACAAACTAGTGGGCTAGATCAGTAGGGTTTTTTTTTTTTTTCAAGTTTTTAAGTTTAAATTTAATTAGCCAACATATAGTACATCATTAGGTTTTTAAAAAAGATTTTATTTATTTGACAGAGATCACAAGTAGGCAGAGAGGCAGGTGGAGAGAGAGGGGGGAAGCAGGCTCCCCACTGAGCAGAGAGCCTGATGTGGGGCTTGATCCCAGGACCCCGAGATCACAACCTGAGCCGAAGGCAGAGGCTTAACCCACTGAGCCACCCAGGTGCCCCACATCATTAGTTTTTGATATAATGTTCAATGATTCATTGGTTGTGTATAGATCAGTGCTTTTAAAAAATATATATAAAAAGGTATATAGCACTGAAAAATAATCTCCAGCCAAGTGGTAGTACAATTGTTTTGCACAGGCATTCTAGAAGCAAGGAATATGAAGAAGAACCAGGGCTGCCTGGGTGGCTCAGTCAGTTAAACGTCTGACTCTTGATCTAGCCCAGGTCTTGATCTCAGGATCGTGAATTCAAGCCCCATGTTGTGCTCCATGGTGGGCATGGAGACTACTTAAAAAAGAAGAGGAAGAGGAAAAAGCAGCAGCAGAGGTCATACTTTCTTTATATAAGACCAAATAAATCAGAGGCTTAGAGTACATATTTCTATCAGCAGCTAATTTATATATCTCTATACTACACAGGGATCAGTAGGATCATTATAAATATGAGACATCTTAACACAGCCAGTGATTTTTCCATACAGTCTGTAGTGGAACAGCCATATATACACTTGATGTTTTTTCTTTAATAGTTTAAATAAAACATAGGGTTGAGTATTAAATACTGTGGTCTTAAGCATTTGTAATAACACATCTCTGTTATATTTAGGAATAAATTTTAGAAAATAACAAAATGTAACTGATGTGATCATTCATTATCAACTAAGAACAAATCCAATTTTATTTTTGTAAATTTGTAAAACAAACTCTTTAACAAATATTGTCCATCTCCCAATATTCAAAATCAAGTCAAAATGTTAAAGATATTTCTATATTCAAGACCAACTTGAGTATTTTCATTTTTACAGCCAGTTCCCAAAAGCTTTTCATAATTAAGAATTGAAAATGAGTGCTACAATATGAACATGCCTAATTTTTGGGCATTTATTTTGATCAGCTTTGTTTCTGAAGTTGCTGTATATCTAGATTTAGAATTTTGCATTAATTCACTTCATCATAACAGATGCTTTTTATAGGAAATAATCTTGTGATGATCCAGAAACAGAATTAAGACAGGGGCTAGGTATCTAGAACATAGTTTTAACCTTAAAACTGTCATTTATTTAATTATCAAAAAATGGGTTTATTCAGGAAAAGCAGAGAACCGCAAGTAGGGACAAGCAAACCAAGGCAAAGCCATAGGCAAGGCTGTGTTCTCCATTTTTATAAAAAGAATGCTCTTTCATACAGTAAAAGAGTGGGAGAAGTTGGGAGGGCTGTTATAAATAAAAAGTCCATTGGAGTAAACTGGCAGTTCAGAGTGTAGTGCCTTTTCATTGGCTGATTTGTGACAATCTCTCATTGG